TTAATATCTTCGTTAAGAGTTGGTTTCAGTAACTTTTGCTGCGCGAATTGTGTTCTACGTGAAATTTAAGTTAAGAAACATGTATTAGAATGCTTAAATTCGTACCCTGTCTAGTGGTCCATTCTGCTGATATATCGCTCATCCATCGGATAGAATCACAGTGTAGAATCACAAATAGTTTGATCATAGATGCGCGATAGATGAGATTTGCAGATCTATAGCCGGGATCTATGAAAGTAAATAATCAGCCTGCTAATATGATGGCGTATCTCTATTTCCGCATGAGCCACGGAAAGCATAGAGTTATACAGAGAACAGGGCTAACGTGGACATCGAGATACGGCCTCGGAAGAGCGACTAAATGTGACCACATTTTGGGAGGAACGCGGGGAAAGGGACTGCATGTAGTCAACAAAAATTCAAAATAAAGTTATTGAAGCCTGGTATAGGAGAGTCTTCAACGAAATTTTGAAACAAAAAACGCTCAACAAATAAAACCAGACGGGCTATAGTAGATCCGGCGGCACCGAGAAATAATCACGAATTTTCAACGATCGAAGCGTGCACCGTAGTGAACGCGCAATGCGTGAAGTATTCCAACAGTCTTGTAGGCGCTGTTATGTGTTCCGCGCCGATCGCACCGTGTTTGGCGCAATTAGCTCAACTCACGGCGCGGAATCAGCGTTTTTCAACTTATTACTACCATGTTTTTTTGACACTTAACTAAAACTTAATGGTAGTAACAAATTGAAAAGTTTTTAACACGTGACTAAAACTAAATGGTAGTAACAAATTAAAAAAAGCTGACCTCGCGAGTTAAATCAATCGCGCCAAACACGGTGCGGTCGGCACGAAACGCATATTAGCGTCTACAAGACTTTGGGAATACTTCACGCATTGCGCGTTCACTATGATACGCGTTTTAATAATTTTTGAATATTCGGAATTATTTCTTGGTGTCGAATCTGCCGAAATGCACTACACCATTTCTGACCAGTGCACACCGCGATCCTGCAATCCTAGGATCGAAGGATCGTAGAGATTTTGCACCCTTTGCTGATTTATGGTTATTAAGAGAACCTTTCTATAGAGAGGAAATCGAAAGGTCGGTCCCTTGAGTTCTTGTCATAGAAAGAGATAACTGTAGCTTAGTTTTTCTCTGAGAATTCTCAATAGTTGAAGTTGTTTTCAAAAATGCTTTCATAGTGTTGAAGAACATCTTCATGCTTGTCGCTACCCTCCAGAATGATTATCTTTCTACCGTCATAGATGAGGGACGTAGACAGTCTTTTTTTTTTTTTTTTTTTTTTTTTTTTTTTTTGGTCCAAGAAATTGGATTTCTGTGATCCGTGGTATGACAGTTCTACCATTAAAATACTACTGGTCAAGTGATAACCTTAAAATCATATCCGTTGAGGTTTTTCTTGAGTCGACGTTGCATAGAAATTATCGGATCGTGGAAATGATATTGCTATCTAACGGAGGTTAGAACCATATAATAGGTCTGCGAACCATGATGACTTTGAGCCTGTCTAGTGGTCAAAACGCGCGGCAAGCAGAAAAGCCGGCATAAGTGCATGGAAACTCGTTAAGCGCTGGCGTATCATTGAGATGAAATTGAATTTACTTGGGCGTAAAATCACTTCGCTTGGAGTCTGCCGCTCATCATCAGAATGAGGGTATCAATATGGTTTTGTTGGGGCGTGAGTATTAGTATTTTGCACTCTCTACGTGGCACGTCCAACAAATTCTGGAAAGGGTTAGGTTCACTTAAGTGTGGTTCAGAAACAAGAAAATGACGCTTCGCATTGATCATTCCTCCATCGAAGACAGTTCATATTATTTTCATGAAACGTCAATATCCAGAAAATAGCAAACGAAGGCGTTTTGCCTGATTGCAAAAGAATATCTGCCCGCATACCATGTGAAAAATGTGTACAAAATTTTACCCCCGCCTCACAGTATATCAAGGCAATCAGAGAGGCTGGACATGAAATTTTTAACCAAAACTGGAAATTTTGATGTTTAATTCGTCACATTTTAAATTTTAAGGGGTGCTTTCAGCAGAAAATTGCCCGAGGAAACCAATGGAATCACTTTTAGAGCCTCGAAATTTTGTACAAACGGAGTTATATGCTTTTAAAGTCTCCAATTTTATCCGACCTCTCCTATTGATTCGATTCACTGTGCGTCGCTTGATTTTGCAATGAAAAATCTTTTTTTTTGTTTATGGTTTTTTGTTTGTGATCGTCGAAAAAAAAATTGAAACACGGCGATATTGGAATTAATGATTTTCCTAATCCCTCCGACAATCTTCTATGAAGTGGAGGTAAAATAATTCTTCTCTGTATCGCTAAATTTAAGTTGCGACTAACGTTTCCAGTGGTTATCTTGAGCGGAAATGTCTCGAGAAACTTATTCCCATGTCCTTCAACCGAGGCTCCAACCAGGGACGCTGGGAAATGGATAGGTATTCTGAGCCCAGCACAAGGAAATTTACTGTGAGAATGTAACTTATCTAAAAGCCTTTTGTTTTCCGAACTTTTCTTCGGCCCCTTAGATTAAAAAATAATTATCTCAACAAAGTACGGGTGCAAAGTCCGGAAGATACGCTAGTCGCGGTGCAGAATGAAAATAGAACTGAAGATCTTAACTTACCTATTCTGCCACCGACTTTTGTCGCTCTTTCAGTCACTTCGCAAAAATATTTCAGATAAAGGCGAATTCGAGCGTTGAACAAAATTTCCATCAAAGTCTGATCAAACATCATCTAATGGACATGTGTGGAAGTTAATAGTCTTGAAATTGATATTCCGCATTATTTTCAGATGAACCCTCGGCAAAAACATGTCCCTTGCGGCAAAAAATGATGAATGGCTGCATTCTTTTTTTATTAAAATTGGCCGGACTGCCAGTTTTGATCAAATAAGAATGTCGTATGGTGACCAACCGTCATCTGATGGTTGATTTTGATTTAAATTTGAACAAGTATCGAAGCCTTTCCACTCAGGGAAGGTAGCGTCGCGGGTTTTAAAAATTCTGTTCAGTGTCCCTGAATTGAATTTTGGAATAGAGGATGATTGGCAAAACTCGTGGGAAAACGAACCCACCGGCGCAGAAATTGCTTGTAAATTAACTAAAAATCTGACTTCTCTTTCATTATATATCATGGCGAGGATTTAAAATATAAGTGCAAACGAATGACGATTATTAATTAATATGATGTGAAACTAAATTCATCCCAAATCAGTAAATTAATCTGCCATCACGCAACGAAATGACTGAAAATCACGACTCGAGTCTCGGTTGCGTTGCAATCAGGTCCGCAATGCTTCATTGGACAGGGTGCTGCGAGTTGACGCAGTGACAATCTATAGGTGTGGTGGAGCTTGATGCTATCGGTATTTTAATTAAATTTTTGCCGAAACAATCGGCTAAAATGGAGCAAAGGCACTTATCTGAGCTTGTTTGCTTTCCCTCCTTTAGTTCCGTTGTTACCTCGCTGCTCACCTAATCATTTCATTTTCTATCTTTGCCTTGTATAAAGTCTCTCGTGCCTTGGAGTGCTTGTGATTTTATTCAGCAACGCTGTTCAACTTTTTACCTTATGATGGCTACGTTCTGTTTGAACTTATAAGGGATACTGTCAGGGTGGGTGTAATATTTTAAAAAAATATGTGATCCACTTTTACACCATATGCGATGCTTAGAAAGGACGCTCTTAATTTTTACATGCCGGATCTCTGATGACGTACTACGCAAACAATTACCCCAGTTGTAGCAATCACGCCCAATACAGCACTTTTAAATTTACCACTCACCAGCGCATAGTAGTGAGTCTCAAAAATTCCTCAGATTTCCTCTATTTCTCCGCAGAGGCGGATCTAGTAATTTGGCAGCACCGGATTTCCGCCATTTAAACCTATGTTAAATTATCGATTTTTATCAGAGCGCCAGGCCCCTCGAAGAATCGATACATTTCCATGGGTTTGAATGGAGAAAAAACGATGTTGCCAATTTGCTAGATCCACCAATGTTTCTCCGTACTGCTTAAGTATGAGTACTGAGTATGCCCGATACGTATTTTCTCGTCGATTTGATGTATTTTTTCTCTCTTTCTTCCCGAAAGATTTAAAATGAAGGGACCTTTACTTTTCGGATGACTATTGTACTGCCCTGCTAAGCAAGAACGCCGTGCGAGCCGTCCAGCATTGCCAAATTGCCCTTGATAAAATACGAATTTCCGTGAAAATTTTTGAAAAATTTTCATCCCTTGTTCCAGAGGGTTTCAATCGCAATTCGATTGAAAGTATTTGAAAATTTCAAGGAAATATACTCTCAAAATCCTTTAAACATTAATTTTTTATCATAAGATATCTGGCAGCCTTCAAACGTTCATACTACGTTCTTCCTCAGCACGGCAGTGTAAAAGTTGAGCGTAGTAAAACAAAATTAAGATTCATATTATTTTTCAAAACGAATCGAGGCCAATCAAAAATTACCTTAACTAATAAAATGACCCATGGGTCTCGCAAGAGGATTTTCGCAGCAGATTTTCCTCTAAGCATCGAAAAATACTGCTACTGCTCTCCAATTACAAGTTGTTACATCACAATTGAACCGCGTTAAACAGAAAGGAACCAAGCCACATCAGCTATTGCCAAATTTAATTAGGGAAATTAATTTTTTACATGAAAACGGTTGGGCGGATTTTTGTGCAAATTTCAGTGAATTTTCTCCATAATACAAAGCAAATTCCTTAAAATTTTCAAAGGAATCCACACAAACGTTCCCTCGTAAAAAATTGACTTGCCCAGCTAAATTTGGCAATAGCTGATGTGGCTTGGTTCCTTTCTGTTAAACGCGGTCCAATTATACACCTGACTGAAACATTTTTCATTTTTTCTTAATCACGGTTTCCTCCAATTGTTTTAATGGCTCAACATTCACGAAGGATACTTTTGTTAAAATGTTAATTTTCCCCCCGATTTTCTTTTCAGGTGCATTCACGAGTATTTGGACGTTTATTCAGAGGTCCTGCAGGCAGAAGCTAAAGACCTCGTCAACTCGCCGTTTGGAGGCCGTTACTGTGGAGATATTGCCCCCCGTCGGCGCATTTCTCTTTACCGTTCGGTTGCTCTTAGTTTCCACACTGACAAAAACTTCACTACTGCCGACCTTTTCGCCGGAAGATACACTTTTTTTAATGACAGTAAGAAACTTCATCAGTCAAATTTTATAAGTTGCACAGAAAATGTAGCTCGGGCCAGGTCTTGCTCCCACCCACACTCCGTCAGATAACTTTTGTATGTGTCAGTCGCTTTCACAGAGCACTAAGGCGATCTGCGACGCCTACCTACCCGCCACAAGAATCAAGATAATTTAATCCTAATAATCTTCTACTGGAGCCTTAAAAATTGATATTACTGAAGATCATTCCAATAGATGGTTTAATAAAGGAATTCTAGTGAAAATGACGAGACATCGCTTTCGTGTAACGTATAAATTGTTAACTGGATGTTGAAATTTCTCTGTAGTACAGAATTTGAGGCTGCAGCGAGAACCAGAAATAAGAGGACTTGAAAAGCTTAGTTTTACTCCACAGAATTCATTAGTCATTTATATATATATATTATAACGCACTCTGGCGTTCTACGACACCCAAACGCCACATATGCCTGTCTTCCCAGAGGTTATCGGGCAACTGACACCGCAACATCTCTTCGTCAACGCCCTGCCGCCAACCCTTTACGGGACGTCCCCGTCGCCTCTTCCCAGGTGGTACCCAATCCAAAACTTGTTTGGGCAACCTCTCCTCCGACATTCTTTGCACATGTCCATACCAGCATAACTGCCTGGACATGACGGAACGTGCATTAGTCATTTTTGATATTGAAAAAAAAAATAAATAAATCAAATCAATTAAACTTAAAATAATTACGTATCACTGTAAAATACTCGTGATTCGAGTACTTAGCGCTCGATGCGACACAAGTCCGACAATTTAAAATATCTGTCTTTCCCCGCTAATGAAGTTCACTCGCTTTGATTGGCTCTTGCCACTGCGCCGCAGAAATGGCGGGAATCATTGGCGGGAATGCGCGCAATGATTTGTTTACCTCCAATTTCTAACCTATACAAGTGAATTCAGTGATCAAGTGAATTTGCGTTCAAGTAATTAGTAAAGTTACTTGTTTTATGAACCTGTTTTATCGAATTTAATTACCACAGTCTAAGCATGTTCATGCATCGTTCAAGTTCCATTCCTTCTTCGAGACTAGCTGTCTCTTTTATTAAAAGATTTCAAGGAGAGGTTGTGCGCAGAATGCAAGTTAAATATTCCACCCTCATCATATCAATAAGTATTGTCTTTCGAGAAAACCGTTTTGAATATTATAAGCATAGACCACGGTTTCTGTGCGCAGATGTAGTCAGGTAATGTCCACATTTTCTTCAACGGGTTAGATACATGTATGAAATATACGTGATACATGTATCATTACCTACTCATACGGGTGATTTCACGATAATAGGAATAGTCGTGTCGCCGTGGGTTATGAACGACATAGGGCAAAACGATTGAAAACCAAATTAATTAATAAATAGGAATGATGTCCCTGAACCTATCCATGCTAAAAAATATGATGAATTATTATTATATTTAATAATATGAGACTTTAAAGGCCGAAAATGTCCGGTCGGTTACGCGTCGCCAACCCCGATTTTGAAGCAAAAGAGCAATTTGCGGTAACAAATCAGTACTGATCATGAACTCTTTGGCAATATTTGCTGAAAAGAGACTCTAGTGTTCAAGAAAATTGCCAGTTTGAACTGAAATGTTTATTATTGAGCGAGAAAAGTCATGAGAAAGAGGTGTCGCCACATTTGGCAACAAAGAGGGTTATTCAAAATCGGCGATTTTACCCTACGCTTGGATTTTGCCCGGAGTTGGATATGTTGTTCCCTATCACAAGACACGCCTTTTTCGGGCATTGGCAAGTTCACCCGAAATTTTTCCCGCGCGCTACAGCGTTGCCAAGTTGAAAACAGGCAAATTCCGTAAGTGGCATCAAAATTGAGCTATGAAGTTGCGGTTTTAACGAAAATTCTCTAAAAATTACGCACTTTTAGGAAATGACCATGTTTTTAATGTCGCATTAATTTTAACATGCATTATTGCCAAATTTCCGATTTTTAAATTCAACACATGTTACATATCCGCAAATACCCAAAAAGGTTATCTTCAAATTTGAATAAAAAGTTGTCTAATCGATAGTTCGTTTGATTTCGCATCCATCGATATATTATAGCTCGCTGGGAAACTTTTGGTTCGCGAGATATCATCATTTTTGTGAACAGCTTTATGGAGCGACGACGCTTTTTGAGTCCGGGCGGATAGAAATTTTAGCCTCCTAAAACACCGGGTAGCATTAATTCCATGGTTTCCTATGTAATTTTTGGCGCTAAATCCGAATTTGACCATTTCATACAAAAATTGTCACCAAGATGTTGCCAAATTTGACAAAAATTGCTTAAAATCGGCCTTTTTGGCGGATTATAGCCTGCGACTTGCCAGGAGTTGATCAGACGACAAAATTGGTTATTTCCGCAGTTAAAACTCGTTAAACTATCTACAAGCTGAGTCAAATTCTTTCTGCTCACGGTAAAATTAAACGCGCGACAAGCAGCAAACTGAAAAAAAGACACCAAAATTGGCGCTTTTTGCGGTTTTTGTCGTAAGTTTCTTGTTCTCCGATTAAGAGAATGTTTCTTGACTAAACTAATGAACAACATGAGCAGAATTTAATAAAATTGAACAATAAAATAAGATCGAACATATTCCAATGTTGCCAAGCTTAAACAAAATACCTTAATTTTCGCTGGTTTTTTCGATATTATTGTCCTATATTCTTTGTTCACCTCTTATTTTTAAATTTTTTAAATGTATCTCTCTTGCAAAATAATACACTTCTGTAGAATAATTTAATTTTCAACTTAGATATATACTAATAACTAGGGTATTTAGTTCAGAGAGGAAAAATTCATAAAATAGTGAGTTTTATCAAATCGTGTCAATAAACCACATTTTGAAACAATACTGGAAAATTTTCTGCTAAAAATTAAAGAATAAAATGTACTCCTCAGACTGACTTCATTAAAACAAGACAAGACGCATTGCAATATTGCCAAAATTACGTACAAATCGTTGAATTTTGGCGGTATTTGACCGTTATTATTCATTACCCTATATTTAGTATACAATTTTATTTTATAATTCTGAGATAATGGAGTTTAATAGAAAAAAGTAACGACACCAAACTGAAGAAGACGCCCAGGAAAGGACAATAAGGGGCCTAAAAAGGAACAAGGGCGCTCCAAATTACCGAGGACCTGTGGGTGGACAAGGGACTATGGCGGTTAGGCGTCGCGGGACCCGAGAGACCGCTGTTAAAGCGGCTCTTTATCTATATATGTAACAATACAATAGTTTGTCGTTACACTCGGCGTAATTCAGATTTTCCTAAGAAACATTCTCTTAATCGGAGAACAAGAAACTTACGACAAAAACCGCAAAAAGCGCCAATTTTGGTGTCTTTTTTTCAGTTTGCTGCTTGTCGCGCGTTTAATTTTACCGTGAGCAGAAAGAATTTGACTCAGCTTGTAGATAGTTTAACGAGTTTTAACTGCGGAAATAACCAATTTTGTCGTCTGATCAACTCCTGGCAAGTCGCAGGCTATAATCCGCCAAAAAGGCCGATTTTAAGCAATTTTTGTCAAATTTGGCAACATCTTGGTGACAATTTTTGTATGAAATGGTCAAATTCGGATTTAGCGCCAAAAATTACATAGGAAACCATGGAATTAATGCTACCCGGTGTTTTAGGAGGCTAAAATTTCTATCCGCCCGGACTCAAAAAGCGTCGTCGCTCCATAAAGCTGTTCACAAAAATGATGATATCTCGCGAACCAAAAGTTTCCCAGCGAGCTATAATATATCGATGGATGCGAAATCAAACGAACTATCGATTAGACAACTTTTTATTCAAATTTGAAGATAACCTTTTTGGGTATTTGCGGATATGTAACATGTGTTGAATTTAAAAATCGGAAATTTGGCAATAATGCATGTTAAAATTAATGCGACATTAAAAACATGGTCATTTCCTAAAAGTGCGTAATTTTTAGAGAATTTTCGTTAAAACCGCAACTTCATAGCTCAATTTTGATGCCACTTACGGAATTTGCCTGTTTTCAACTTGGCAACGCTGTAGCGCGCGGGAAAAATTTCGGGTGAACTTGCCAATGCCCGAAAAAGGCGTGTCTTGTGATAGGGAACAACATATCCAACTCCGGGCAAAATCCAAGCGTAGGGTAAAATCGCCGATTTTGAATAACCCTCTTTTTGCAGTTGTATTAAGTGCAGTGTTTATCTCGCCGGATGGACTCAGGAGTTTTAAAACTGTCATCAAATTGTTCGCTGAAGTCTTCTCGACAAAACCATTACTAATAAGTCAGTTTTTTTACACTGAAAACTTTAATTATTATGAAAACCAGTGATTTTTACGTGTGTAGCACTAATTCCTCACTACGCAAAAACCTCAATTTAATAGTATTAAACTAAAAGGAAGTCTCCAAAGTTTAGAAAACTTTTAAGGCAGCATTAATTCCACCTCATAACTCAAGAATTGCCAAGTTTCATCTTTTGTATCATTTTTAATCTCACATTTTTGAGTGTCGGTTACGCTGTGTCTGTTACGTAACCGACACAATTTGGCAGGGCCGCCATGTTTGCGTGGACCTCCAGCAGTCCAGCGGGAAACGCTGATACCTGATTCAATGGCTTGTTTATCAATCACTTTAACTTTGAACTGAATCAAAATAGAGCGTGCCAAAGCTGGAAAAAGGAGTTTTAAGTAATACCTTTAAAATGAGGTAATAAAATCCTGTTAAAATTGGTGCACTTTTATTTCTAAGGTATTTCACATTTTAACTATTCCTGTTATCGTGAAATCACCCATACGCGTGCGACTGAGAAAAGAGATCCTCATGCGGGAACTCAACATTCATTTACTATCAACTGAGACAAGTACTGAGTAATACATCATTTGTTCCCAATAGAGCTCTTGCGTGTGTCAGGGATTTTCAATATGAGTATTTTTCCCTTGTTTAATCTTGCAAGGAACACCCTGGTGCCCCTGGTTTTCTCTTCCAAGCTTGAACGAAGCTCTCAAATTTGAGGCTGTAATTGAAGGGATCTCCCTCGTTATGCTGAGTCCACCTCTCTCTATGATCAGTCTAACTCTCCATGCAAAGATAGGAAGTAAGTATATTATTGGGGTTGCCACTTTGTTTGGGGACTTCAAAGCTGGAACCTCAGCAGCAAACGGACTTCTTTATTCCCCTATCTGTGCGTGGAAAATTTGACCAGGTACACGAGGTGGACTCTCAGCGTAGCGTTGGGGATACCCACCATCAGGGCCTCGAATTTGAGTGCTTTTTGAGCTTAGGAGTTCGTTTCAGAGAATGCCAGTGGCACCATTGTGTCTCTGGAAATGTCACATAAGAAAAGATACTTAAATTGCAAATCCTAGAAGCTTGAAAGAGCTCCAATGTTAAAACAATTGATAATTAGCTCAAACTGAGATTGATTGTTGCCATTTCCTGAAAATTAGAATGCCAGTATGAACTGGATACTCTCTTGTGACTTTCTCATGAAAAATTCAACCATCAAACCTCTTTTGGCAGAAACATTATGTACAGAGAGATTGAGGTTTGATATGATTTTCCACAGATCAGTCTGTTTTTTGTCCATGATTACTTCGAATTTTAAGGCTTCTTAATTTCCTTTTTCATCTGAAATCGTAGGAGAGTGAGCAGTTTACACTGGTGCTCCAATTTTCTGGAACTTACCAAAATCTCTTTTACTTTCAACTGATAGCCAACAAGCGGGTGGATACCTTTAATATAAACTGGCAAATTGATTCATCATTTGAGATCCTTAGAATTTAAGTCTTACTTATCACTTTCTTCAAATCCAAACTAAATTAATGATTTTTTTGTTGTTTTTTTTTCCAGCCGAATATCAAATTGGTAATTTAACTGGTAGCTCCCCATGCAGTTTTGAAATCCATGCTGAAGCCAAAAGACAGGGAACTATAATTTCACCCACATACCCTGGTGTCTATCCAAAAGACCTTTATTGTAGCTACCTTTTCCTTGGGAAAAAAGGCCAGAGAATTCGACTCGAGTTTCGAGATTTTGACTTATTTTATGGAGGACCTCAGTAAGTATAAGAGCACCTCAACAGTACTTCCAGCACCAAACTTATCATCTCACTGAATGGGAATGCACCTTGAAGAATATTCAATGGGCTCTGGTCCCTGAATTTTTAAATGAGAAGAAAATGCAATAACAAAAAAGCTTGTAACTAAAGAACTTATCAAATGTAATTAAAAATTTGAATAGTTTTTTTTTTTTTTTTTTTTTTAAACTTGGTTATTTTAATACAAATCATTTTCCTAAAAACATACCCACTCTGTGTACACCTTTTACTTTCCATCAGCAAGTAGACTTGCGAGATTTTGAAAGTGACATAGAGTTGATAATGCTTAATTCTTCTATTTTTAAACTATTATCTGCTACCTCCGCAGAATAGAAAATGCAAATCGGACGGGTTTTCCCCTTAGTATTTTATTTTATTTTATTTCACCTACAAAAAAGTACAACCTAAAGGGGACTAATAATGGACTGTTAACGGTTTAATCAGCTGCAGGATGAATGCTTTATTTTTAAAAGGACAGAACATCAATTTTCAAAAATTAAGTTTTTGGCATTTTCAGACTCAATTAGTATACTGTCATATACTTTAACGAGTATTTAGCAACTTCATGATAGCATCATTAGAACTGGGGAAAGAAAAAATTGGACAAAAGTCGCATCAACCTGAAAAATGCATTAATCCTCGTTGGCCAATTGGTTAGCACATACATTTTTGTTGAATCGTGTCATTTTTTGATGTGACATTTTTCCAATCTTCTCTTTCCCCAGTTCTAGAGTGTTTAGTTTTCTTGTTAGGATCGTTGTATACAGATCTTTGTGTTTCTGAAAAAATTAGCATCTTAAACTTCCACCCTTCTCAAAACAGTACATTCAAATATGAGAAACATTTCTAGTGCTTCAGTAATCAATCCCTCAATGAACCACCATATGAGGTGAAAAAAGCAGTCTGACATTGGTTTCTTTTCAAAGTTTCATGTAGAGTAGGGCTTGCGCAACACAAATTACTGAAACTAACTCCCAACCGAGACACAAACAATTTTTGTCTAAGATTGGTTACGAAAAATGTGGATTTCTTGCCCATGTGGAAAATCCATAGTCCACATGAATTAAATCATGCACTATAACTATTTTAGCAGGCTTCGCAATAAGAAGTGTTCCTTCCTCTTTCTGTGTTGTTCGAAATTCAAACAATGTGCAATGAGTGAACTGAAGCAGCAATATTGAGGTTGTCATATTGTCATACTGCCCAGAGGCTGTACTATCAACATTTAGTGTGGGATTTCAAATACGTTGATTTTTTCTTTTTTTAATGAGCGGAAAGTTTGAATTGATGCATTGAGAAACGCAGGAGTTACTGTCGATCATTTTTGTTGCACAAATCAAGTTCAATATGAAATTTTGAGTTAAAAAATATACATCATGATACTTCATTTTGCTCCTTGTCCGGTGGTCCACTCCATTGTTTTCACTGTATCGATATTTCTTGAATTGAACTTGCCTTAAATTTTCAATTGTTCTTTGTTTTTCAGCTGTCCTTTTGATGTAGTTAAAATTTATGATGGGCGAACAAATGATTCAGCAATAATTGGAACATATTGTGGCCAACAGCGCAACCTGTACATTTATTCCTCTGACAACGAAGTTTTAGTCACCTTTGAAACCCTGCAAAGAACTGCCAATACACAAAACAGAGGGTTCAAAGGAATTTTTGAGTTTAGTGAAAGTTTTGTAAAATTAGGTACGCTCTTTTCCTCTTAAATAAAGTTAAATTTAAAATATTTCGACATTATATTGGTCAGAAGAGTGTGAACTAATCTCAAATTTTAATTTTCTTTCCTACCAAGATTATAATAGTTAGCCTGCTTACATATTTGATATAAGAAAATCAAATTTCAGTTACAAGGGAAATCATTGCATAGGGCCATGTACTTCAGATGTACTATGAATTTATTGCAGACATGTTCATGAAATTCAGTTGCATTGGAGAATAAAGTCATTACTTTAGATGCTATATTTAGGTAGTGTTGCAAAAGATTAATGTGGAAATCACACCATCAATTTTCGTAGGAGAGCTGTACAAAATAAAAATATGTACAGACATTAAGGCACTTAAAGGCAGGATTTTTTCCTAATTTCCAGTTTCATTTTCATTTGATTCTCTTGTAAAATAGATTAGCCCAATGTCAACCAAAAACTAAAAATCTCATGGAAGGAGAAAAGATCGGGAAGAGCCTGCACAAGAATACTAAATTTATTATTTTTCCAAAATTTTCACATTGTAACTCTTGACATACTCGTTGCAAATGGTGATAAGTAGGTATCCAGAACCTAATATATACTCTCACTATTTCCACGATCCTGCTAATAGTATCCTGTAAATGCACTGTACAGTTTACACGAATGAATTAGAAGTGCTGTTCAATCATTTTACCGTCAGTCTAGAGAATTTTTTGCCTCAATATAATTAAATACTCAAGGCTTGTCTAGACATCAACCAGCCCTTTTCAAAAACCATTTGCTTGCACTATTGTTAGTAAGTTTATTAATTGTGCTTCTTATTTATTACAGATTTTATCGTTAAAAATGATGGTGAACACATTCGTGGTACTGAATGTGATCAAAAAATTCTGAGCAAGAAAGGATCTAACGGCTTTGTGTACAGCCCCAATTATCCTTATCCGTATCATCCAAAAATTGTATGCCGGTACTTTATTTACGGTATGCAGGACTCTCAAAATCTTGAACGTGTTCATCTAGAATTCTCCTTGTTTGACATTCCTAAAGGAGATAAAGGAGAGTAAGTACTTAATTGCTGTATTAAATCTTTAATCCGTTCTTTTATCTCTATAAAAGAGATTGGAGAGTAAGCATGTCATCACATTTGTAAATCGTGAAAATTCTGTTACCATTAAATATGATAGTGGAGATTTCGTCCGAAGTTCAGCGAAAGTCTGGGTAATCGGCTGGGGTTGTCGACCTCCTGTGGCGTAGTGGTTGTAGCGCTAGCTTGTTGATCGGGAGGTTCCGGGTTCGATTCCTTGCCAGGCGATCCTAGTTTGATCGTCTCAAACAATGGTTGCCTGGGACTGGTTGTTAAGTAGGGACGGAGGGGGGAAGGGACTAAAAAGCGCGGGATTAGCCCTTGTGGGCTATTTGAAGTGGTAAAAATAAAAAAAAAAAATCAAGAGAAAAGAAATCCTAGTGGAGGATTTGATCAAAGGTCAGGAAAAGTCAGGAAAAAGCCAGGTAATTCTGAAGTTTTGGAGCCAGAGGGCAGTCAAGGAATCCTAAAATGAAGAAATCTTGGTAACCCTAGCACAGCTCCTTGAAAGTTTCAAGTCCCGTAAAAGGAATGAGAATAGGAAAAATCTTAAGTTAGAGAGAATTAAAGAACATCTTGAAACTTTTCTTCTGCATATTGAAACCATTTTCTCTAAGTAAAATCATGATTTAGTTCTTAAGAAGGCAGTGCCAATTTTTTATGTCTATAAATCTTAAGTAATTCCTTTATTACTTTCAGCTGTAGCGATGGTTACTTGAAAATTTATTTGAAAGGACAAGAAACCACTGATTCCTATGATAAGTTTGATCATGAACTTTGTGGAGAGGACACAAAAACCAGCTCTGTTGTGTCAGATGGACCTCGCTTAGTCATGATATTTAGCAGTGGAGAGTTACAGGGTAGAGGCTTCAAAGCTCAATATATATTTGAAACTGGTAAGTTATTTGATTTGGAATCTTCTCACAAATTTATACTTCATAAGAATAATAATATTTCTTTACCATTCTTTTAATGTGGTGTCTGTGTTGTAGACGTGGAAAAGATAAAAAATAAATCTTAAGTAATGTGATATATAAATAGCAATCCTACTAATATTACAATCAATTAGATCAGCTGAATCAAAGATGGCTAGCTCTATCACTTTCAAGTCGAAAATATCAGCTCATAACTTACCTCTAAAAATGCAAGCTAGTTCTCAATTTAATTCTGCATTAGCTGGTGCGTCATCATTCAAAGTTCACCCTCATTTTGAAAATTTGATGCAAGTATGTATATTGGCATAGCCAGTCTCGTTTGGTATCATTGCATCAGCATTTGAACTTCCCAATTAAAAAATATCCAAATGGAAAAATAGAACTCTGCTTTTACTCTCAATTTACAGCATAGTGAATGTAATCGTCTCCATAATTTCTCTACCTCTTTTACATTTTTACTTTATGTTTGCGTTTTTCACATTTAACTTCATATTATATATTTTTTTATCTTGTAAGTTGAAAGTTTATAAGCAATTCTTGTGCTAATGTTCGTTTTTTTTTGCCCCTTCAGAATATCGTGTTCCAGGCACAGCAGCCCCTGATGGAAGCTGTGCTTTTTCATATCAGAGTGCTAGTAAAAAACGTGGAGAGTTCAACTCACCTCGCTTTCCTGGAAATTATCCTAGTAGTACAAATTGTACTTACACTTTTATAACGTCAATAAATGAACAAGTTGTTATAATTTTTGAACAATTTAAAGTTCGTGCTGACTCAGCAAACACATCTGTAGCTCAGTATGGGTACGTATAACATCTCCATGAAATTGTTAAGTGCTCGTTTTAATTTACTTGTTTTAGTTGCCACACAAGACGTTGTAAAAATCTGTAAAAATTTTTTTAACAGTATATGTTTTAGGGAATTAATATCTATTACTCCACAGAAATTTATGTTTAATACCTGAAGCTGTCCTTCAACCACTTCAGAACAGAAATTCTATCAAATACTAGAATATCATTAATTATGTATAATTTCCTTCAAAATGTTACCGTTAAATGTATATTTTGACCATGAAACTACTAAACCATGTATCTTGTTTGTAATGTTTAAAAATCTCCGCTCCAATTTTATTTTTTGAAAGGAAAACAAATCAACATCATTCCTTGAAATTTTTTCAGAATTTGCTTCACACAGAGAAGAATAATAATGAAAGTTTTTAGTAATGACGTTGAGTACTTCCCTATTTAAAAAATTAAGTATGACAGGAACAACAACATCGCAAACCGAGATATGTGGTTTTGAAGTTTCATCACCAATTTTACTATGAAAACGGAGAATTAAATGCTCATAAACAGTTGTTTCCAACTACTAGTAATTGCCTCTTTTAAACTGCTGTTGCTCTTATTCATCAGAGTTATTCCGTATCCTGACTTATATGTAGCATATACTCTTTACAAGATACCAGAGGCAGGTAACAAAAAGCACCTGTATTCAAGGTGCGGTTAGTTATTTTTCGGTGGAATTCACAAATTACCCTCGAAGTGTCAATATGAATCAATGCAATGAATGAGTGCTGATTTTTTCCCCATTTTACTGTTTAACTAGGTTTGACAATTGTCATGAAGATTGGGTAGAAATTTCAAATTTGTATCGGGACGGTGGAGTGCATCTAATAGGAAGGTATTGTGGCGCAACCTCTCCGGGCCCAATTGAATCAAGTTTAGGAGCTGTAGGATTGAGGATATTCCTTCGAACTGATGCTGAAGGAGTCTATAGTGGCTTTAAAGCAAGATATGCTTTTGAGCCTGCTAAACCGATGTTTGGAGGTATACATTCCTTATTTATGTATTAACCCCTTCAATCCCAAACAAGTTAACTCATCTGCTAGTTTGCAATCTCTCTAAAAAAGGGATAACTTATTTGTTTTGTCACTGTACAATTTTCTTTTTGCTCTACAGGCCCACTATATTGATGGAATGTAACTTGTAATTTGTACTATCTGTTTGTGAGATTATGAACTAAAACTTCATTATGAAGGGGGAGATCCCCCCCCTCCCCCCTCAAAACCGAATTTAGCTGTTACTTGGCAACTGTTTAAGGTTCCAAGCTGCACGGTCTTGAAGCAAAATTAGAAGCTATGTAGGATATTTTTCCTAAAAAGTAACATTGTAGCATAGATAGTTTCGTTTTGGTATTACTTAGCCCAAGCTGTGCCTAGCTGCTGCGTTGCTATTAAAAATGAGCGATTTACCCAAGGATTTTTTCACATTAAAAATAACATCATCCCCAATAACATCCAACAAACTAAGAATAAAATGCATCCTTGGTTAAACTTTTCAACAAGTTGAAAAAAGCCTTATTCTTCATTTTAAACTGGCAACAGGCGCTGGCGACTAGAGTCCTAACATCACCGAGCACCATGTGCTAAATTCGCTTGAAAATAAAGATATATCCAAATTATTGGCGTGGCCTTGATTTTTATAACAACTTTGTTCCTCGCCCAATTTCCTGCCTCTTTTTAAAAAATATTCATGGATACCAAAAAATTATTATGGTGCTTGAAAATGAAGCTCCTCAGCCAAGTGGCTCTGATATCTTTAAAGCTGAGTTAGAACACTGCTAGCAATGGTCAAATACCAATTTTTATAGTGAAGGATGAATTTATTTGTCTTCAAGTTATTGTATGAATATAAGGGTGAATCTGTATGTCCCCAAGTTATGGTCTCATGATTTTAGGAAACATCTTGCAAACATGATTCCTTTTTTAATTCAAACTTTCACATGATTTCCAGCTCAGGTTATAAAGAATAAAAGAAGAGTGATCTAGAGCTGAGCCAGGTATAGTCAGGTACCCCAGATATCCATAGGTAGTGTTTGATCCATGGTTACTAATAACCAGTTGTATCATTCAAGAACACAAAAACTAGAGTTGGGCCGAAATGGAATTTTCGCGTCACCGGAACCGGATCCGGATATCGGTTTTTTGTATCCGGCCGGATCCGGATACCGGATAATTCAAAAAAGTATCCGGCCGGATCCGGATAGTGCTTTTTCGCGCGAAAAATGTCGCGATTTTTGAGGTTAAGTTTACTCGACTCACGATCGGTCGTAGCTAACAAAATTCGGGCCTTGAATTTCTTTCCTTATTTCTAGTGTCACAATTGCAATAGTACAAAAATCATGGTTGACAAATAATATGTGTCAAATATAGCAAGGCTGTTTCTAGCTTTTCGCAGCTGTGCTCATATGTTCAGCAGGAGGGTGTTATCAGAAGTCAGAAATGTAAACAAAACAAAAGTGGAAAACAGCGCTGCCAATCTGACACTTTTGAAAGCACCGCCGCCGCATGCCAATCCAAAGTCACAGCAAATCAAAGCCTGTCTGGTGGCATGAATTGCAAAACAGACTGAATATAATTAAAATTGTTCAAGACTTAGCAGCATGTAATTCATGTTGAAAGAAAAAAAAATAAACAGAGCTGTATTGAAGGAGAAGAATCAGGAAAAAATACAGAAAATTGTATTGATAGGGAAGAAAAAAGAAAGAATATCACCAAAAATTTATCGAAATTTTCAGGGCCAAAAAAGCACTATTCGGCGGGTCCAAAAACCGAATAGCGCGATTATCCGGCCGGATCCGGATACTCGCGAAAATCGTATCCGGTATCCGGCCGGATAATCCGGCAATCCGGATAATCGCCGGATACCCGGCCCAACTCTAATAAAAACCTTTTTGTCTCCATCTGATTTTAACATTGCTAGTTCCTGCCCACTGATTAATTATGACTGCATGCTTTAGTGAATCCTCTAGCATAATGAAAATTATTTTTTATTCTCTAAGGATTATTTTATTACAAAGTGAATGGTCCAATCATTTGGATTGAACTACCTATTTAATTATCTTTTCGATTTGGTCTTAATTTCAAGTATTAAAATTTGTGTACAGATTGCGGGCAGAATTTAAGCAGCAGCGATTATGGTGTAATTACCAGTCCTAATTTTCCCACAAAGTATAGCGGGCCTCAAAAAGGGGGATCAAGGTCTGTGTGTAGTTGGTTCATCACAGTGCGACCTAACCATAGAATCCTACTTAATTTTGATTTTTTCTTCATTGAAGGAGATCCGCCCAGTAAGTGAAATATTTAATAACGATTTAAAAATTTATATTTATCCTGACTTTATGTGCTTTTTTTTTTCTTTACCTCTTTCAAAGGAAAAGCTATCCATCGCAGTTGTAGAAGAGAATGTCCTTAAATATTCCAGATGCAAACTGACAAAATTACCCAACCTGAAGGTGTCATCTTATTATTCTAAATTGCAAAATATAGCTTGAGCTTTTCCCTTTTTTACATTTAATTTTCCAGGAAAAACATCAGACATGTCTGAAAACCGTAAAAACTTAGACTGTTTTTGTCAAAATTAACAAGTAAAATGTTTCGTCCCCTTTAATGATTTTAAGGCAATGGAGAATTCCCTCTGGCTCAAAGAACATTTTACGTTCTTGCTTCACCCTAATTGAAGAAGGAATCTGACCTGCAATTATCAAGGTGGAGCATAATTTCAAGCCTTAATAGGCTTATATGTATATTTTTTTTTTTTTTTTTTTTTTGAAATACTTTTAAAAACCATGAATTTTCATTGATGAGAGTTAAAATTGAAATCTGCATTATAACTTACACATTTTAATATAATTATCATCGATCTAAGATGAATGCATTTCAGGCTGTTTCCCATTCTTCCATTAATTAATGAAATTTTAAAATCACAAAGAGATCATTGTTTTACAAAAATATTATAATTAACAAAAATTTGACAAAGATCTGTCGTTATGAAGAACAAAGGAGATTAGAGGCACAAGTCAGCAGGCACAAGTTGGTGATCATACAATTATAGTTAAGGTGATTTGACTCAGGTTTACGCAGATTATTCTTGTTATGGAGCGAAAAATCTTATAAAAAGCATAATTTCCCTCTTTGACTTATGCCATTTGGCACAACAAGAGTTACGTTCAATCCAAAAGCAACTGTAGATGCGTTTCCAGTCTAATTTTTGTTGTAGTGTACCAAACTTTCAATATATAGGAGGTTAAGATACAAGGAAGAAAGGATGTCATGGTTTGTGGCCCAAAATGCATACTTTTTCGAATTCAATCAATAAATTTTAATTAAAATGCATGCATACTTGTCCATGATGTATATTTTGGTCCTAACTTTGCATGCATACTTGTCTATGATGTATATTTCGGTCCTAACTTTCACGAAGTATTTTAATGGATTTTTTTTAATTATAAATTTTTCCTTTCAAATTTTTAGCTCGAGGTTGCTCCGCTGCTGTTATCAGATTGTGGCATACGCTAAGTGGCCTTCCATTAGAATTTTGTGGAGAGAAACCCCCTAAAGACAATTGGCAGTATCTCTCTGATGGAAATGTAATGAAACTGAGGTACAGTATTTCAATTAATTTATTTAATAGGTGATTAAACTTATCTGTAACCTTACTTAATAAAATAAAATAAAAAAAACGTACCACAAAATGTTATTTACGACACTTTTTGAAGGAAGAATTTATTACAAACCAAAGATCATTGAAGAGAAAAATGTCTGTATTCTTGTCATTTGCCAAAAACCCAAATACAACATTTTTTTCTCTAAGCTTTTTATGGTTGTAAACCTTTTGCCATTTTAAGAGGCCTGACTAATGTACCTATGCAAGTATGTGTGTATCTTGCTTACAAAAGGGATGAGTTTTTAATAGACTTTATTTGTGTCAAGGGGATAATGTTTACAGTATACTGCTGCATGATGCTGTTCACCATTGTTTGGCATCAGTTGTCATCAACAGAATCATCATGCTCATCATAGCAAATATTTTACAAGTACCTATTCTGCCAAATCCCTCCCTCCAGTGTTTGATTCTGTTACATCATCAAGCTTTTGACCAGCAAGAGTGAGGTTTAAAAATGACAAATTAAGTTAACTGAGCCACATTTTCCACACTATTCTCTGAATTTTCAATTCTTTTCAATTAAGATTTGAATGGAAACTATAAGTTGAAATGAATAGCAGAAGCTGATCATCAAGAGGTGAGGAAAATAATCAGTAAAGATCTTCTTTTATCTTTTCTCTTCTGTATTTTTCATTTAATCCAAAAACTTGTCCTAATTTTGCTAAATTTTTGTTGTAGCTTTGTCGTTGCAGACAAATCTGTAGGTGGAGAGGGATTTCGCGCTGTTTGGACGGAAGTAGCAGTAGCACCTAAAACTTGCAGTGAATTTAAATGTGCCAAAAATAGCTACTGCATTGCGGATAATCTTCGCTGTAATAGTGTTGCCAATTGTGGGGCAGATGACAGTTCTGATGAAGCTAATTGTAAGTTTAAATTTTTCCCTTTAATTTTAATTCGCTCTGTAGGTGGTTTGATCCAATTACTTATTTAATTTACTGTTTTGACCATGAGATTCCATGGCAATAACTTATCTCCTTCCCCTTCAGTGCTGAAAATATTTTATCAACAAGTGTAGATGACCCCCTGTCAGCTCTTTTAATCTTATGACACCCTTTGATATTACCCTTGTAGATTTTTACCTATTGCTGTCTAAGCTTACCCAGGCCCATTTAAGCAGTGTAAGTTTTTTACTTAAACTTGTTCCTCTAACTCTTATGAGAGTTGCTTTATGAAACAGTAGCCTCTGAAAAGGACTGTCCATGCCTCTCTGTCTTCAATGACTTTGAAATTATAGTTGTGCCGATAGATTCTCCTTACTATCCCAATGAGTGTGAAACCCCAGAGGACCCCCTCCTCTCTCCCTTAATTTTTTTTCTTCATGTCAAAGCCACAAAAAAAAAAAAAAAAAAAAAAAAAAAACTTTTCTTAATGAAGTGTAAGAGGTGGAATTGTGTATACTTCAACTTTTTCAGTTTTATTGTTGGGTGGTACATTTTTTGAGTCCTGAGTATTTCCTCCACAAGACTTTGACTGCAGCTCTTTACGCTTTTTGGGTTAACTATTTGATTTGTCGTCCAACAGTAAAAATTTATTTTATCTAGCATCCCTGCATCATTAATTTCAATTATGAATTGATGGACGGTAACATACTTTTTTACTAATATCTTTTATTTTTCAATTATGAGCCGTTGGGGTCAAAATGAGTTAAGCTGTCCTAAAACTTATTTTTGTATTTTACTGTACTTCATTAAAGGGAAGCTAAAACACTAAAGTGCAAAATCTGCCTGATAATATGATCTGCAGATTGCGTTAGCGGTGAGGAAACTTTGGAAAAGACAGGAAATTTGTCGTCAAAACAAAATCTTTAGAAAAATTCTGATGATTTATTGTTCTTTTTGATTTTTTGGGAGACCTTTCGAGCATTTCTGACAGAATTGTCAAAATCAAAAAGAAAAAAACAAATTTGGAAGTCAATGAGGAAAAAATTCTGGATCTTGTGAAACGTTCTGCTGAATGGCAGTTTCTGCACCTCTTACCAAGCAAAAGTGTTTCATTCAAGTCGTATTTTATTTTTCTATTACGTCCCTCAGATAACCAAAGAAATTTTTTAACCATTGCCTCTGTTAGTTCAAAATCCTTGTTGGTGTCTCCTCAATATAATGGTAAAAAGGTGTTTGAAAAAACAGCTAAAATTGTCTCAAAGATTTTGCCAACCTTTGATACCTGGACAGAATAAGTGCTTCTCAAGATGATACCTAACCTGATAAAGATGCCTGATAATGGCTGAGGTTTCTTATGACAGTGGTGGAGGACAAAAGTGCCTTTTTCTTAAATGAAAGCCCTCTGATACTTTCTGAGTTGCCCCATTTGAACCAGTTTTGATCATTTTTTTCTGTAAAAAAATGTTGACCTTAATGAAACACCTTTTTAAACGCATATTGGTTTTAGAATTCATTCAATTCAGATTTTGTCGTTTTGCTTTTATGTTCTTTTGGCAGTTCTTCATAGGTGTAAAAATGTATTTATTATATTGTACAAGTAATGGTTTGACAGAGCAGGAATATTTTCATACTTTCATTTTGGGAGAACCCAGCTCGGTTTAGAATTTATCCAGGTGTCAGAGGTTGATTTCTTAAAAATCACCTCGATACTTTATTGCCAGTGCTCAGATTGATTGGTGCTAAAATGTGTTGCATCCCCCTAGGATTGAGAAGTGAAATCCTAGTAGACAAGCTGGATTTGTTCAAATCCAATCGGCAAGTAGAATCAACTTGTTGAAATTCCAGACTGTTGATGAATGCAATGAGAATTAATCTTGTGTTCTGTTAAATGTGTTTGTGTATATGTAGGCAAAGGTTATGCTCCTAGCAAAGAGAACTCCTCCCTTCTCCTCTCTCTAGGCTTCTTTCTTCTGCTCAGATCATGAGCTTGTAACACACACTTTCTCTCTCTCTATCTCTCTCTCTCCACCCAGCATGCCTCCCACTTATATAACGTGAGTCTCAGCCAACTTTACACTTTTTCTATCTATCAATCTGTATAGTGGTATCAGCTTTAGTTGCCCTAGTTCTAAAGTCCTAGATGCTGGTGTAGTTACAATTTTCATTGCATTTACATCTCATTAACCCTCATTGGCACAGCTGTTCCTCCAAGCAGTGTTCAACCACTTCCCAGGGCCATGCGCTAAATGAACTTCAAGATCAGGTTTTGGCGTCTACAAATTGGGGGGCTGAGCCACCAGGGCGCCAAAAAAAGTTGATGGAACTTGTCGATTTTTTTAAACAATCGCGAAGCAGCAGTAGGGCTCTCAACAGACCCTTCACAACGCAATGCATTTTGAAACTTATTCCAAAAAGATGAGTACATATGTTAAAAGCATTTGGCATCCTAAGTCATGTTTTTGTGTTCACTATACTGTCTACTGAGAGGAATACAAAAATACAGGAAAATTATTTATTTAGAAGAAAATAAATGCGCTGTTGGCTGGTGTAACATCAACTTTGGTGTGAATCATCAAATTTTTTGTTCTTGTTTTTTTAAAACCTTTAGTACTTCTACTCAGACTCAGCCTAGAATTGGGGCCCCACGCACATTTTTTGCTTCCTTCCTTAAAAAATAAAAAATAAAATTCCCAAAAAATAGATTAACGCAATTTTTGAAAAGAAACTTTTAAAAATTGACTTGCCGAGCCTACTAAACCCTGCAGATCGCTGCACTAAACTAGCCTTAGAGTACTTCTCAAAGAGTGTGAATTTCTCAAGTTTACCTCGAGATGCCTCCCCCAAACCTTGAGCTTCAGGCAGAAAATTTCGAATATTGGGCCTCCCAAAGTGCATATAAAAATGTTTAAGTGGTCCATAGTTTCTTGAGCTTTTCTTGATTTTTGCAGAATACAATTGTTTCACTCCAACAGGCTGAATGTGCTCTAAATCAGCACTAAATACCCATCATGGTAATGCGGCTGAATTTGTTGATATCCTTCTTTCTAGGAAAAATCAACAAGATTTTAGAGCATCCCTCACCTTCAGAAATACCTTAACAATGAATGTATGAACACTCATGCTAGATTTTCTTGCCATTTCAATTTCTGCAGAATTACAGTTTAAAAACAGATCACTGATAAAGTGTCTCGTAATATTATTCCCCTCCTGGCCTTTGCCCTGAATAAGTAGAGGCTCTACATGCCCATTGCGAATGTACCAAGTTATGGACATCCACAGTAAAGAAACAACATTTTTTTTTTACATATACAAAATCATCATCATTTTTAGAAGTAGAAATCTTGCAATAAAAAAGACCGTCTCTTACATAGAATATTCTAAAAACTCAAGGAAAAAACACAACAAAACAGATAGACAAGCAAGACAAAATCATATCCGAGGCATTTTCGATCTTTTTAGCCTTGTCTACTTATCTTGTTGTGTTTCATTATATTTTAAAAATATACGATGTAACATGCCTGTTGGGGCTTTTTCCTTGATTCAAAGCAAGGAAGTTATTAGAAAACGTGTATTTTTTGTGAAAAGAATTTATATCAACGGAAGTGAATTTATTGTTGAATTTCTTTGAGTATCATGACAAGAAGTTAATTTCAATCAAATTTTTTGTCAATTGTAGAAGTGAGGCACCCTTGCAATTTATGCATCACAAAAGGACTACGCCTAGAATGCCAAGAAATTAGCTGGTGCCGACTGAATTTTGATAGTTTTTGACATGATGTTCCTTATGGCCCCCTGAACACAGTAACCTTTAAAAACCAATCTTTTCATGTGTCAATCTGAAAAGTGAATTTTTCTGTATTTGTACATGCAATATCGAGTAGAAATATTGCAACATCTTATCGATCATCAATGGATGTTCAGTTTCCTTTCAGGCTAGGAAGATTAGACAGGCGAATAGAATCGTTCGAATGATGAGAGAGTGCAGTGCCACGTCTTCACACTTATAGCACCAGTCCCACATCTCCATCAGGAGACGCGGTAAGAGGGTTGAAAAATTCACTCCCTGACCCTGCTATTCTCAAAATTGACACTTAGGAAGATCACTTCCAAAAGCTCATTAGGCTTAGGAGGTTGTAGAGAACATCATATCAAATAATATCAACATTTAGACAGCTTAAATTTCTTGGTATTTTTGTAGTCCTTTTCAGCATTTCACACATGAATTGAGATTTCCCCAAACTCTTCCCCTTCTAGCACCTGAAAGAATGCAGCGGTTGCCAGCTTGCCAGAGTTTCACTAAAAAATGTTTTTACACTATGTAAAAACCATTATTCAAAACTCTGCATACCTAAATGTTTCCAAGCAAACTCTCAAAAAAAAAAAAAAAAAAAAAAAAAAAAAAAAAAAAAAGTAATGAATTTTAAAATGCCATTAACTTTAGAGGTAACATGTATGTATCTCATTTTTTAGGTTATGTTGAAACTCCGGTTGACTGGTTGTTGATATCGGTACTAGGTGGAGCTGGTATCTCTGCTATTATCATGCTGATGCTCTGCGTTTGTTGCCAAAGGAAACACAGACATAGACAACGAAGACATCATTTGACAAGGTTGCACAGCGCGAGTCCAGGCTCACTTCGCTCCTTAGCCGGACAACAGCATTACTGTGACGAAATTGGCCAGCGGTATGCTAGTGTTAATAGTGTTTGACCTTTGGAATATTTCTAATGAAAGTCTCATGATTGGTCATAACCTGAATAAGAGAATAGATACGAGTATTCTCAGTTGAAGAAGAGAAATGTCTTCAAACCCTTTTACCTTAAAATCAAGACATCTTTTAAAAGAATAGGTACTACAATTGAGTAGCCTCTAAAAAGTCACTTTTAATTATAATGGTTGTATTTTTGCAGCTACCTTAGTAACAAATCTCAAGTCTTCCAAAAATAAAATATTTTACACCGTGTAAAAATTTAAAAAGCTAATGAAAATTTTGAAAACGAATTTCTCCTTTCATGATGAGGAACAATACCGTGAAACGCTCAGAGTTTGTACTTCTGTTCCACCATATTTTTTTATCTTTTAACATGTTTTGCTTCAAGGAACGCACTTATTTTCTAGTAAAATCTAAAATTCCCTATACTTTGAACAGCAGATCATGGTATTGTCGGAATTGACCTCAGTTTTGTGACCTTCATCCTCACAGTTCACTTGATTGTAGTATGCCTGCAAATTTCTATTCTCATTAAGAGAGCTGTTTAATGTTCAGTGTTGAACAGCTTTTTGGCAGAGGAATAAATCTGATTAGTTATACATAAAAAAAAAAAAAAAAAAAAAAAAAAAAAAAAAAAACTAGGAAATACACTGTACAACAAAATTAATTTTTAAAATTGCCTAGCAGGGTCTTTAAAGGTAGTGGAGGATAGGATACTGTAAGGGGAGCCAACAATGCGCTCTGCAAGGGCCTAAAGGCATAGATCACCCTTGAATGGACACCTGAATACAAGTCTAATTTTTTTTTTCCTCATATGTTTTAAAAAGGAATTCCTACACCTATTCTTTGAAACTACGCAAGTATTTCTAGAAACATTTTGAGAACCTTTAGTTTGAAGGATTTAAGTTTTATTCCTTTGTGAAAACATATTGAAGCAACTGATTTAAGTAGCCATATGAATGAAATTTTGATACCTTTCCAGCCTATTACTAAACTGGAAATAATGATCCATATAAAATTATTTCTCAAGGAGGCAAAAATCCAAAAAATTCTGCACTCCTGAAGGAAATCAGTTGGCAAGAGGAGAGACTCTTACCTAGTTGTTATGGATACATTTTTGGACTCTGAAAATCCCTTGAAAGTCTGTCGGGGTCGAATTAATTGGAATGGGCATTAGAGATTTCCTTGCTTATCTCATAAAGATTCTTAAATTTTCTAGATAAAAATTGATACAGTGTAATTTTTTCCGGTATGCATGGTAGCACAATTTAAGTGCGCACCTCGAGCGCAATTTATTTATTTATTTTTTTTTTTTAAATTTTCGCTTTTGAAAAATTATTCCAAAATATTATGATGACTATCAGTGATTGCAATGGGCTTGTTGCAAATTCTTGCTAGTTGTTTCTATATAACATATAACAGTTGTTTCTAACAGTAAATGTCTCAAAAATCATGATGAGCGCATCGGCAAAGTTTGAAATACACTCCTAACTTCACAATCTGTGTAAGAAATTTGCGCCTCTTTGAGCTTTCTGCTTCACAAACGATACTACGGCACAGGTAAACAATTCGTTAGAGGTGTTGCTCACTCCAACCCCTGTGCACTAGAATACTACACAATATTCAACATGGCCGACACCAATCCGCCAATACACATGCACCTGGACAAGACTCTAACCATTTGTTTACAACCCAGCGTGTTTACATTCACGGTTTCTTCGCGTCGATAAAGATCCGCTTTGGTTGCCCTTGTGCTTCAGACTGCAATTTGCGCGTGGAAACGTCGGCTATGTTCAGTATTGTTGTTGCAAAAGGGTTGAATGGAACGTCTCCTCTAACAGAATGTTCACCTGTGCCGTTGTATCGTTTTCGAAGCAGAAAGCTAAAATAAAGGCAAATTTCTTACGCAGATTCTAAAGTTAGGAGTGCATTTCAAACTTTGCCAATGAGCTCATCGTCATTTTTGAGACGTTTACTGATTGAGACAACTGTTATTTTTGCTCTAGCAAAAGTTTGCCACAGGCCCATTGCAATGAGTAAAAAAAAAGTATCAACTGTCAAGAGTAAATTTTGGACCAATGCACAATAGTGCCATCTTGAAGTAAAAATCTTACAAATTTTTCCTCGAAAATGTCCAACTCACCAGACCTGCATCGTTTAGCCCACGTTTAAGTGGAATTTCAAAGTTCACGAGGATTGAATTTTTAAAATGAGGCATCACTCCAGTGAAAATAATTTTTTGTGTGTGAAGTTTATGGCACATTTTTAGGTTTGAAAGCTTTGGCACTAGCATTGTAACACTTCTGACTTGATTAGATGCTGAGATGGAACATTTCATCATGAAAAATAAGAATTTGAAATCTCAAGGCTGAAATTTCACATGAAATTTTATATTATTATTCTGTAAAATTTCAGGGTATTTTCATGAAATTTTAGAAACTTTTTAAAATTTCAAGTGCGATCTCAAGATGCCTTTTGTCCATCTTGCCAGAACCCAATGCAGATGCATGTAACAAACACACTAATCCCCTACTGTTTGTTCTAAACATTTAGTGACTTTTTTTTAGAGTTGAAGTTAAATTAAAAATATAAAATCGTGTTCTCCTCTTTCCCTTGATGACAGGTTAGTGGTAGTATTTTGTAAAGAGAGGCAAGAAATGGCTTCTTTGTAGATTTAAAGCCATTCTGTGCTATTTAGAGTTTTACGAGGAAATTTTGAAAGATTAAAAAGAATTTAGTGAACTCTTGGAAAAATCTTAGATCTACTGAAACTCAGAGTTTCCTTTGAAAAGAGCTTACCTAAGTTAAAATTCAGACTTTTCTGGATTTTTTTCTGTTGTAAAACAGAGCCACTGAGCACTTTGTATTCATTGTGGCCAAACTGTTATTGTGTGGAAAGATTAGGTCCTTGATATTATTACCTTATCAGAATTTTGGGAACGAAATCTGACATGGCATATTCATCTTTTTAATCCAATCAACGGACTTTATGTGTCACTTTTGAGGCAAGTAAACCGTCTTACCTGGTTTGAGTTTTACGATGCTACTGCAAAACATAATAATACCCAAAAATTGTGATGGCTCCCCAATTCTTCGAAGGTTCTGATCATTACCTACTTTTACGGTTTAATCAAGTGACACGCCCTGAAATCATTTTCAATGTTCATATTATTTCAGTATTGCATATTAAATCTTTTGAAATTAGGAGTAGATTTAAAACATCAATAAGAAAGAACTTCCTCAACTCTTCTTGGTTTTGATATAAGTTCTTTCTTTGAAATTTGCTCACATCACTTAAAAGTAGTTTGAATTCCAAAAATATTGTACAGGTACCTACATTTTTGTACAATAGCATTTACATAATTATATTGTATTATCGTGATGATCATTACCTATTATTATTCCCATACATTACTGTTGTTTGTACACTGTACAGTAGGACTCATTGAGACCTTTAGTCATTCAGGAATTTTCTTGTTTTAAATTTTTTTTATTTCATGCAATGCTGTTGGAAAATTAAAATTGTGATAATCATTGTACAATCTCATCCTAGTTATTTGCACTGAGAGCCAAGTGTCCCTGAATGAACTCATAAAATTTTCAGAGAAGTGCATCCCTCTAATTTTTTCTTTTTTTAATTTAAATTCATTTTTTAGAGACTCATAATCTACTCAACAAGTGTATCATTATATGTACTCATTCATTGATACTTTACAGAATTGTAAGTACGTAATGTTACACTGTTTTATACGTGTAATGCACCCTTTTAACTCACAAAATTTGTCTTAAATTTGTGCTGCCACCAGTTCACAAATATTGCAACAAGAAACAACCTACAAATCTTTGGGTGCTGCTTTGTTAGGAGTGGATGTACTAAATAATAATATGCCTCCCTGCTGCATAGCAGCATTAACCTGACATCTGCACTTTTGAATTCTTTCTGCACCATGTATGACAACTAATTAATCTACTGAAACATGAGTCTTTTTATCATGTTGCTGATTTCACGATGAGAATAAGTGCAAAAATCAATCCTTGAATGGTTGTAGTATCATCGCAAGATGATAGATAGCGGAACTCACCTTAAAAAACTGTAGATAATACGGTGCAGCAAATACTTAAAACGGGACTAATATGACTTATCATTGATAACGGTTTTTATCCACCGATAACAAAGCTAGCAAACATAATATTAATGAATGGTGCTTATAATGCAGAAAAAAATGTATTTGAAGGAAAGGATTATCCATTAACTACACATTACTCTTTTTAGACTTACTTTTTTCTGAATGACAGCTGTGAAATGCTGAACACCTTCCTCCTCCCCCAAGTGCCTTCGGTAACTTTGGGATGGCACCATAAGTGTGTTAGAAACTTTTTTTTTGTTGAAATGGTTTTCAAGAAATAGAGAAAAAAATTTCAGTTTCCCTTCTTAGCTTCACAGGAATGGTGGTGTCCACCCTTTTCATACACTAAGAGTCAAAAAATGAGAGAAAAAAAAACAGTGAATACTGAAGTGGGATATCATCCTATGAGCCCAAAACGAACTAAGGAGTGGTTTTAATGTTTGTTTGAAATAGATCATCATCGTCATGTGAAATCTGTATTGATTTAATTAACGAAAGATGAATAGATTCTCACAATGGATGCTTTCATTTTAATTCATCATCGGTGTGGAAAATAGGGTCTTACAGAATGTGAGTTCGATGATTCTTTATCTTATTACTATTGTACAGTTAGAGAAAATCGTTTTGAAGGCTCCTTGGGAAAGGAGTTATGCCAGTTAAAATTTTGTTGTTTTGAAACATGGCATATCACATTTTATAATTCAGGCCACTTTGATTGATTATGTCCAACACATTTCATTTGCAGTTTCATATTTTATCAGCCGAGATCCATTCAAAGCCAAGAATTATTTTTCTGTTGAAGAGAGGTGATCAGAATAGTCAGACTTAATAGGAGCAGATTAAAAAGAGCGTTTTAGAAGAAAAGAAATAGCAAGTTTTTGAACCACACGATTCAATCCTTGACATCCCTCATACCAATTCAGAGTGTTTGAGCATGAAAAAAAAAAAAAAATTATGCAGCCGCTAACAACGCTCATGAGGGAATATTAAGTCCATAAAATTGCCAAATCCAAGTACCATCAGTGGAGACATCTTTCTACGGTAAAAACTTATAATCTTAAAATGCAATTAATTCAGATCTGCTGCTTCTAATCTACCGACAGAGGAAAAATCATCAAACGAAGTACTGTAGAATAATGTCACAGCATAGAGTGTTTAAAAAAGTCAAAGTAAAGCGCTTAATTAAAGTCAGGCTGCGTTTAACATTGCTTTGCTCTCAATGATGCCTAGCAGCGAGAAGTTACCCCCCTTCCTCCCCCAAACAGTTGTCAACTGAAATAATTTTACTGCTGATTTCCTTTCATTTTTAGCCTTTTGACTTAATTACTTTGTGCATTTGATCACTTTAAAGTATCCTGCCATAACTTCTTGATATTATTTTGGAATGTAAAATGGCCGAAATTTAATTTTCCTGCAAACAAGCATGAAAATTCAATAGAATAATTTTTAGGATAACCTGTAAACTTGCCTTTTTGTACTGTTTTAGAATGTTCCATCCTTGCATGTTCTTTACAAACCTTTCATGCAGATGAACTTTCTAATTGAAGAAACAAGTAATTAATTAATGAACTAACTCTAGTGGGCCAGTAAGAGCTTCTAAATTTCTTTAAACATATACTCTGAAAACAGCACATCCACACAGAGATTTTACAACATGTGGTCAGTGCCAGTGTCAATTTTACAGTCATGTGGTGTGCCATCTTGCAGATGTGATGTCGTCAAGTCCTCACAAAAAATGTTTCTGATTTCTTGATAAAAACCAAGAGATACTTGAAGCAAAGTATATTAAAATTTTAGATTGGTCGGATGAAAGTACATACAGAATATATGATTTGTGAACAAAATGACATAGTATAATAGAGCAACATAAAATTTACTGATTAAAATAATTAATTTTCAGGATTCTTTTCTGACTTCTGATCAACAAGCCTGTTCTTTGATCTGACTCCTAGGTACAAAGTTCAAAATGACAAAGACCTTTTAGTGTCTCAATGGCTCATTGAAAGTTTCTTAGAACATACTCTTAGTATTTTCCAGGGAATTTAACATTTACCTGCACTTACCTAGAGAATGCTTCTGAAATATTTATACGAGCATTCTCTAAAAGTAGGAAAAGAAATCTTCCAGAACTGTTATCATTTCCTAATACAATACTCTAGATTATGTCCTCAGAATATTCCATTGTTTGTATGGCTCTTGTGCTCTGAAATTATGTTTGTTTTTCATTATACTTATACTGTAAAGGAGGAAAAAATTGTTCTCACTAACTTCTGAGAATACTCCACTAAGTAATTGCAGGGTTCCTGTGCTCTAAGTTCCTGTCACTTAAATATGCTGAATGACCAATTATGTATGTATGTATGTATGTATGTAAGTAAGTACCTACCATTAAAAGAAGGCAAAATAAGATGAAACTCTCGATTTTTCTAAGATTTTTATCTTTGCAAGTTAATAATGTAATGAACCATTATTGACCTCAGTATCTAATGTGAAATTTTTTTTGTTATGATGCTCAATTCTTGAATACCTAAGTACATTGTCGAATATTTGTATCACCTATTTTATTACTGTATTTTAGTTAATTATTATTTAAAAAGTAAAATAAGTGAAAATGTTTCCATAAATTTGTAATTAAGTCTACAACTCGAGAACTTATTAATGATTTTAGAATTTTTTACCTTTGTGAAAGTTTATGAAACACAGTCTACATTGGAAAGACTTAAGCTAATTTTCTTTATACATAGGTGACCGCAGGCAAGATGTTATGTACTATTCAATTCTTTCCCTTTCCAAGCCTTTCTCCCTTTTTTCATTTTTTATTTTCATGTTTTGTTTAATTAAATTTCCTAATCAGAATTTCATTGAGTAGGTAGGTCATAAGTACTTTAAATGTTTCTAAGTATTTTTTTAGTTTCTTAATACTTTTGCCCTAGCAGCAGAATGGTGTTCCATTATTGAAACCAAGAATATATCACTCTCAAGTTGTTTACCTTCTGTGATTCAAGGCACTTTGATAGTGCTAAGTGCCACCAACCACTGTTAAATTAAGCTCATGTGTATTAGTTTTATGGAACGCAATAAATGGTGAAAATTACTGTCAGACTTAAATGATATTTTGTCCCCAGACAAATACTCTTTTCTTCTTCACTGATCCACATCTCCATAGCTGCACAGCAAGAGCTAGAGCTGCAAGATGGTTAATGCGTAGGTATCTTTAGAACTCTTGATGGTAATAAGAAAGTATCCGAGTAAAGTAAAACCCGCCATAGCTATGGGTATCCCAAACCACCCATGTCAGGGTTGTTTCTCAGATACTTTCAGTCAGACGAAGTCCAGGACGGCAGGAACAAATAGAGATTTGATACCAAGGAATCAGAATTTCATCATCCTGAATCCTCCCTGCGGTGCCCTTCAGTGGCTAAGATTGGGGTTCCCATCACAAGTTAGAAATTATTTGATCAAGGTCAAAAAGTATGGCAAAAGCCCAAAATGAATTCTAACGTGACTAATATCCTCCGTTAGAAAAATTATTGACCCCAGAAGTTGGCGGAGAGAGTATCGCTCGATTAAATGCTAGAAAATGGATGTAGAGGCCTGAAAATGAGTATTTGACCCCAAGGCAACCAAATATGGCAGTTCTGAAGCCCTTTAAAGCCTCTCTGATGGAGACTGAGCCAGCCCTTGACTTGTTAAATTTACAAATTTCAAGGATGGCTCGCCCTTCTAACCTATCAGCTAGACCCTGGGGAATTTTAATATTGCCAGACTCAGATTCCTTGAGGTTTATTACTCATTCGTAAACCTCTTTTCAGCGCCTCTAGGTTGATTAAGTGCGATCTAATTCATTTGAGGGGCTTTGTCTCCCAACTTCAAGGATTAATATTTCGGATGAAGATGGGCTTATGAAGAACTTTTTGGTATTGATTTAGGTCAAAATTTTCTGTAACTAGAGGCGAATTTTGGTGAGTGGATTTGGTCGAGTTTTTTCTCTAGATTGGCAGGGTTGCAAACCAAAGGAGAAAAGCTCTCTGCTGAAGTCAAGAACTGCACTCAGTTGCTTGATGAATTTTGGCCAGCATTTGCATCCATCTACGTTTCACCTCACCTCGAGAGGTGGGTCGAGAATTTTGGATGTGGTAGCCATTGCTGCCAGCATGAAAACCAAATGTTGTAGGCGCACCCTCGCCCCGGAGGAATTTCGTTTTGTTGTAACAAAGGTTGGCAGAAAGTTAAAAACTTCCAACCAAATCTATTCGCGAAAATTCGTCTAAGGTTTTCTGAAATTTACTTCAATGTTATAATCTCAAAATTGTGATGGGAACCACAATTTTCAGAGACAGGACCCCTTTTTTAGGTTCTAAGAGGGGCCGAGGAGGATTCTGAAATATGAAATTTGGATTCATTGGCGTCAGTTCCCTTCTCATTCCCATGATCCTCGACCTCGACTAGATGATAAAACAAGTGATATGAGTAAAGGATCACTTTTCAGTTTTGGGCGTCAAATCATCTGTTGTTTCAAGATAGGTTGGTCTCTTTGAATGATGTACTTGTCCGATGGGATATGGGATTATCACTAAAACATGTTGTCTGCTCACACAAAGCAAAATATTGTCTCTCCATAATCAAATATTTGTTCAAAACAATTCCCAGAAAGTGATGTATTGTTGGAAAGAGATTCACAAAAAACAAAAATGTCGTATAAAAAGGAAGAATGTATTGACAGTATCGTCCAAAAAAGCTCTGGTGGCTGGGCGTTACTTAAATTACGCCATTGCCATGTGAACCATCTCACTAAATATTACAAGGAAAAGGGTTCAGTGTGAAAACATGATGATAATGTTTAGATAATTGGGAGTGCTTATACTCTACACAGCAAAACAAATTTTTTTAGAATAAGAGATCAAAGTTACAAGTCAAGTTACACCTAAAATTTACAAAAATAGGAACATTGCACCAAGAAACAAATCATGGAACCAATCATTGCATCATTTGATTTTTTTTCTTCTCATGAAAGAGATATTCACTGTATAGAGTCAAATACATTTTCAATTTATCTGCTCTTATTTATCTGTTCGTATTTATCTATTTATCCGTTGGGACAAGCGACTGAAAACCATGATCCCTTCGAGTTTCTGGAATAAAAGGGTCAACAATAAAATTTAAGATATGTGGTCTTGTATTACCACTGTTACTTCAATTACAAGCTACAGAGTTAGAGAAAATTGGGATCATTAGGTTTAATGAGTTATTGGGTGCATAGGCACTGCATACTGGTGCTATGTTCTAATTGCTCAGTATCGTGAATGGTAGTATGTGAGCAAAGATGAAATTAGAACTACACAGAGGGCACTTTCATGCATAAGGGCCAGTGAAACTTATGGAACATGGGCATACAATGAAGATTTACTTTATAAGTTTTGAAAGTTGTAAAGACTGAGTTAAAATCGTAAAATCGAGGTCCTTTTACTGACAGTATATGCTTTGGTTTTGGCTTATTACTTGACATAAAAGTGGGCTTGAAACCACCAATGACAATTAACTTATGTTCATTGATTCTGTAGCGAGAAATTAAGTCCTTGAGTGGATAGCGCCAAATATTCGTATGTTGGGTTTCTCCAAAAAGAATGTAGACGGAACCACTTTTTACTAATCCTAATGCGCTTTCAGCTACTCTGCAATGTCTCCAGACCAATAAGGGTCTTGCTTTACATAGGAGTATGATCGTATCAGTTTTGGGTATGAACACGTCAGTCTCTATTTTTTTTTTACACTTCTTAGAGTTTTTTTTATACTTCTTAGAATGTGAGTGAGGTTCCCACCGAGTTATTCGGTCCTTACGCTTTAAAATAACCTCAGAAGCAAATCCATGCTTTTGACTTTCTTCCACCAGTAATAACATTTCTTCCGTGCCAAAATATCCATGAAAAATAAGAAAATCATGTTTACTGTAAAAATTATCAAAGTCATTTCGCATTAAGGTTTGAAAGATTTCAAAATGTGTAGATTTACTTGAATTACAGAAATTTAAATTTTGATAGCAAACTGTCACCTCTCCTTTTCTATGATGGACTTCTGATGAGAGTAAAAGAGCATTTTTATGAAGTTGAATGAATTGTGCTTCTAGTTCCTTATCCTGGATGGAGTGGGCTTCAGTGATGCAACCGATGAAATGGAGATCTTTTAGGGTTTTCACGCGACTTAAGGCCGTGTAAAGAATTTTGCCTCTCATTTCAGCAGAGACATGAATAGGAATACATATACAATTGGCAGTGCGGCCACGGATGTCATCAATCTGAACTGCTTCAGCTGGTATCAAAGGAAACTGTCGTCTCTCATAATTTAAGTTGTGACAGAAATTATGACGTAAAATACAAGTCATTTTTGTGATGACTATTCCCTTTGACTTGAAGGGTGCACAAGTTTTTTTCTTCGCCCAGGGCAAAGCAATCCGGTCTTCAAGTTCAAAAACAATTTTTTCAACTTTGTTATCTTCCATTATGATATTCTTTATGATCCCAATCACACCTGCTCCAAGGCCAGCAGTTTTATCTATGTCATGAGAAATCATGTACTTGGCAGATTCTTTTAGTACTAGCAAATGTGGAAGTCCCTCAATATCAAATAATGGTTTACTTTTGAGACATTCTATCATTTTGTCGGTATTTTCAGATTTAACTGGCCCTGATAAATGGTCTTCAGCCACAGATAGATATTTACATCCATCCAGGTTGCTTAATGAGTGGTCATTGAAACAGTTTACCTGATCTGCATCACAGAATATATAAAAATTACGAAGACAAGGGCATATTAAACTTTCTGCAATTTCAAAATTTCTTTGATTAAGGATCTCTAAATCATCCTCTGTGAGCTTCCCTTTGCTGAAGTTGATTAAGATGCGGGAGAAAACAGGGTCATCTGCATGCCTGAAAATTGTCTTAAGTTCATAAAACCTGAAATTTTTCCACAAAGATTCGTTCTTGTAGATGGGAGAATCATTTTTAGCGGGCACTTGATTCAAGTCGCCCACTAGAAGTACAGGTAAATTTGCAAAGATGATGGATTTTTTGAAAATCTGTTTTAGACGAGCATTGATGTGAGCGATAAGGCATTCACCGACACTGGAAATTTCATCAATAATTATAAGTTTAACTGATTTCAGTTGAGAATGTAAAAATTCCACAGTGCAGGCTGGTAACTTGGGTAAAGTAGGAAATTCATAACACAACATTGGAATTGCTAAACCTTCTTCTAAAGTTATTCCATTTACTATAGAGGCAGTTTTGACGGTGGGCGCCATAACTAACACCGAGGATAACCCAGATGCATCTTTGAAAAGGCTGTTTACCAACTGAGCGAGAATTTTGACAGTGTGACTTTTGCCACTCCCAGGCGGACCTGAGAGGAAATAGTGGAATACTTCATTCTCCCGGAGACAACTCATTACATGCCTTGCAAAAGTGAGCTGATCTGCTTGCAAATTTTGGAGATACCCTGAGTATGCCATGATATTGTCACTAGTTCCAGTATCCCAACCATCATCTGTTACAAAAATGGCATTTTTATTTGATTTACGAAATTTTTTTTTTCTTCCTGAGACAAAATCTAGATCAAGTCCATTTGAACTGTTTTGAGTTTCTTCCTTTCTTGATTCATGAGTTTTTCTTGATTTTCTGGTGTTTTCGAGGGTGGCTTCTTTCGTTGGCGATACAGATTTCGGTTTGGCCCCAGATACATCTGGCGAAGCATCATGGTTAAAAATTGTTCCTTGAACACTTTTGCTTTCTGAAAAAGATGCAGAATTGCATGCCTTCGATACAAGGTAAGATAAAGCTTTAGGTGTGGCTGAAGACATTCCTTCAGAAACTAATGGAAAGCATGGATTTGGAAGACTTTCCGACACACATTCGGAGGTACCTCCAGACACCGCACCAAGAAGTTCAAGTAAAACGTCCGAGACAACTTTGGGGATATCTTCCTCCCTGGCTACAGGATCTTGTTTGGCAACTGTTCCTGAAACTTGAGAAGAATGCACAGTTGCTTTCTTCTTCCTTTTCATTTTGATACTAAGAGTTCTTTATGTTGTTGACGGAAATCCGCGGCTGGAAGTACCTACTTCCAATTACACAATGCGTCCAAACTGTATGAAATTACATCTACATGGAGAGCGAGAACTAGAACTTGAGACTAAAAATGCAGAGGTAGCGAAGGCAGACTGAGGGATTGTAAGTCTAGGTATTCGAGCAAAACTAAACAAATGGCCCCAGGATTAGAGCAAAGATTTTACCTGCAAAAACAAAGTCCACAATAGCAAGATTGAAACATAGACCTTCTCACAAACTGATCACGGAGATACTTAGTGATAAATTCACACCACCATGCATTGTATGACCATGGAATAAATGAAAGGATGAATGAAAGGAACTACGTAAAGCACTATGAACTATAGCACATCAATAACTAAACTGGGCTGAGGCTGAGCGAGGAGCGAGCGCTAAGCTGAGACTATTTACTGTGCTATTTACTATTATTTCGGTTTGCCCTTAGTAATCGTAACCTAACCTAACTCGTGTCATTTGATATTTGTTTATGTTTATGTTGCAGTCAGCGTTGCCAAGTTGCCTAGTACCAAATTAAAATGAAACTTAATAACTTACGCTCTGTTGGCTAAAAAAGAATCGCTCGCAGAACTTTCCCGTTGAAATCTCGCAATCCATTTAACTTTGAAAAAAATCGTTGAGCCAAAGCCCCGTGAAAAATAAAAACCGAGCTCGCAAACCACAAACCCTCCGGTAAACCCTGTAAACCCTATACCTACATTTTACTTAGTTATCTGTTATCTGTTTTTTTTTTTTTCCAGAGTCCTTAAGGTGATTCGTCAAGCTCAAAAGAAGTGGTCGAACTGGCATGCGATATATCGCATCTTTTAGGTAAAAAATCTCGGCAGATTTTGAATTTTCAGCAGAAAAAAGGACGATAGCCCCTGCGCATGAGCCTAAAGAATCATTCTAAACCTTAAAATCGGCAAAATTCAGAGAAATGAAAGCAGGATAGTGTTTGGAAAAAAACCTCGCATTCGATTCAGCTATCGATTTCGGTATCGAATGCGAGGTTCTTTTCCAAACACTATCCTGTTTTCATTTCTCTGAATTTTGCCGATTTTTGGGTTTAGAATGATTCTTCAGGCTCATGCGCAGGGGCTATCGTCCTTTTTTCTGCTGAAAATTCAAAATCTGCCGAGATTTTTGACCTAAAAGATGCGATATATCGCATGCCAGTTCGACCCCGTCACTTGAGCTTGACGAATCACCTTAAATGCTTTTATTTTTTTCCTGAGGAATGTATCACCTAACTAAATTACTTATCTTGACTCTTCATTCACATTGTATCCAATATCCGTCTCAGTACGCGGCTAATCAGAATAAAAACCATGATACAATTTATCAATAATGCATTCTGAGTGGCGCGTTGCTGCGTCGGCGAAGAAATCAAAGCTATTTACAACTCGGGTTTGTAACTAGCCTCCTCCTCCTCACGATTTCCCAATTTTTCAAGAAGTGTACGTAGTTTTGCATTCTTGGGTGAGAACTTGAATGTATTCACTTGTTTCCGCAAATTGGCCCTTATTTCCTTTTTCAAACTCTTCGGTGCAATTCTTTACTGGCAAAATAAACGCTAACTCTTTACCTACGGCAAAATTTTCCCCCGACGTAGGTCTCTTTTTCATGGGAGAAAATTCACTCGTTTCTAATCTCGTCAAACAGTGCGGCAGCCGGTCCTCGTAAAAAGCATATGAGCGCCTAAAAGACTGCAGGAATACTTCACGCTTTGCGCCTAAAACAGTGCCGTCGCTGCGGTCGGCGGGAAAAGCATATTAGAGCCTACAAGACTGTATATCGACGGTGAAACTACACCAAACCACGTATCTCGGTTTGTGACGTCGCAGACTTCCTGTCATACTTTATTTTTTAAATGAAAAACTACTTAACATCCAGTCTTGAAAATTTCTGTGATTTTTCCTCTTTGTGCGGAGAAAATTCCGTGAAAATTTCAAGGAATGATATTGATTTGGTCAACTTCAAAAAAATAAAATGTGAGCGTAGATTTTTAAACACCGCAAACGAGATACGTGGTTTGGTAGTTTCACCGTCGATATAGGCATACTTGACGTATTGTGCGTACACTACAGAATAGAGAAAAAAAAGGAGGTGTTTGCATTTCGGGCAGCTTGGACTTTTTTTTATGACGTAGGTCGGTACGACGAGTTTTATCATCGATTTTCTTGGGAATGGTGTAATTTATGGAAAAAAGTCATTCTATTAAAAGTGCTTGGGATTATGTTATGAGTTGATTTAAGCAAAAAAATCCAACATCAAGGTCCGTTTTTCATATTTCGAATTCCCAAGCCTGCAATCCTAGGAGCGAGGGGCCGTAGCGATTTTACACCGAATAGTATCTTACTTATAGTCTACTGAGTCACTGATGTCGAAGCTCGTGCCGTCTTCTTCTATCGCGACTATCGTTAAAACAAGAACCTCTCTATGGCGGGGAAATCGGTCGATCCCTTGAGTTCTCGTTATAGAGAGTGAATACTTTGTAATTTCCCTGCCTTTTGTAATCTCAACCATCATGCACGACAAGTGATCAGATGATGCGAATGTGATGTGAATGTGTGAATCACTGCTTTATGGGCTCAGCTGCGCGTGTGTGAACCGGCCGTGATTTGACGCGAAAGGGTGGTTTCACGATAACTGGAATAGTTATGTCGCCGTAACAGACAACACATTTTTCGGTCATATTTTCAGTATAGTCACTCGAATTGTTTTTTGCATTAATCTACTTAGGGTTACGTATAACGCTGTTCAAATATGTATCGCTCTACATTTCAATTTTGATTTATGAATGGCCTAAAATGTGCCGTCTGTTACGCTGACTTTTAACCGCGTAACAGACAGCACATTTTCGAAATTTCCATGATTAATTGAGAGTAGAGCAATAAATTATTATAAAGCGTTATAATGCTTAACCCTTTAAAGATTAATGCGAAAAAATTCGAGTGTTTATCATTTCTACTAAAAATATATGACCGATAAATGTGTTGTCTGTTACGGCGACAGAGAAAGTTTGTACTCTATATAAAAAGTCCGATGGCATTCTCCCGTAGGATTGATTGTTTTTTAAGTATAAGCGAAAAACCGGTCGCCGACGGCGATCCCCCCTCCCTCCCTCCGGTCCGCCAATTTTCAATATGGTGGCTTTAGCGGCGACAGCCGATTCCGGTAAACTTTTGTAATGTTGTTCGGGTCCCTGGTAAAAATTGGCGATAAGGTGAGGTTGGGTAACTGGGCGGTGGGGTAACTGGGCAGTACCCTCTGTATTTCTACCAGATTAGTGCAAAAATTGTTTTCACTGTTAGCATACCTTCATTATGNTATTGTTCCTATCGCCGGGCTTTACACTTTATCGCCTGGCTGTTGCTTTTTCGCCATCGGCTATAAAAGGCTATAAGAAATTGTGTAGAAATTCGTGTGCTTTGTAAATCCTTAAGTTTGTATGGAATCACCTTAAATATTTACAAAACGCACATTATATTTTCCTTTACTACATATTTTTTTCATCATTAAAATGAGAATAATCCATACAGAGCAGTGTGCAAACATTTCAATGTCATGAGTTGAAAAACGCTGACTCCACGAGATTAAATACATATTAGAGCCTAACACAAAGCGGAGAGGCGCGGCAGAGCACTGGCGCCTACAAACCTAACAGGGATACCTCACGCATTGCGTAATGCGTGAAGTATCCCTGTTAGGTTTGTAGGCGCCAATGCGCGTTCCGCGCTGTCTGCCCGCCTGCCGCGCCGCCCCGCAGCGTACCACGGCGCTTGAAGCAACTATTTCACACCAGAGGTATTGCACAGTATCATACGAAATTGAAGGCGTTCCAACATATTCGGAATGGCAGGCACCCTTCAAAAGTACGGAGCTTTCCTCGCAAAATAAATCAAGATACTACGGCCCAAAAAGCAGAGAGCGGTAGTCCAAGAACTCACTAAGTCCTAGCATCCGTAATTAGTAAGGTTTCACGGTGCGTTTTAAACAATTTTAATGCGGTCAACATACCACCCGCGATTTTTTTGCGGAAATGTCAACTAGAAGGCCTACTGATTGAGGAACAACAAACCGCGAAATCTGTGATGGGGCCGTTTTTGAGAAAATGCGATTTTTCGCTTTTTTGGCGGGAATTTCGGGTCAAGGCGCTGAAAAAGTCAAGTTAGGCTGTTTTTGTAGTTCGTAAATGCATATCCTATACATTTTGAGTCAATCAAGTGCCAGTAGATAGCTATTCGTGCATATTGCCCAAAATTCATATCCTTAAATCCACGACTTTTGGGTTTTTGGGGGGTTAGTCAATGAGAAATCCGAAAAAAAGAGGGTTAACCCGGAACAAATTGCTTAACAAACTTTTCCTACGTAAACTTCTTCAGTAGGTCCTATTGAACAACATACCAAAAGTTTACCACGGTTCGCTCCCGGAACACCCCCCCCCCAAATTGCCTAAATTTCAAAATGGCGGCCATAATAAGGCCTCTGGGAGTTCGATTTTTTTAAAAATACGCATACAGTGTCATGTGAGGTGTCAATTCCTATGTAATTTTGGTCGTAGATTTCAAATATGAAGTAAAAAAAGTCCCTTGATCGAAAGGGGGTACCCCAAATCCAAGATGGCAGCCAATTTTGAAAGTCAAGAGGGTGGATTTTTAAAAAGTTCGCGTGATAAGGCAAGTGAGGTATCATTTCTTATGTAATTTTGGTCGTAGATTTCATTTATGAAGTCATAAAAGCCCTCAAGTCAAAGGGATTGCTCCAAATGCAAAGATGGCGGCCAGCTTTGAAAGGCAGGAGGGTGAATTTTTGAAATGTTTACGTGACATCCCTAGTAAAATAGAATCAACCTGACGTCAGGGTATGTTTCATAAACTACCCTGAGTCAGATTGATATCAGCCTGAATTAGTCTGACTCAGGGTAGTTTATGAAACGTCAGGTTGATTCTATTTTACTAGGGATGTCACGTAAACATTTCAAAAATTCACCCTCCTGCCTTTCAAAGCTGGCCGCCATCTTTGCATTTGGAGCAATCCCTTTGACTTGAGGGCTTTTATGACTTCATAAATGAAATCTACGACCAAAATTACATAAGAAATGATACCTCACTTGCCTTATCACGCGAACTTTTTAAAAATCCACCCTCTTGACTTTCAAAATTGGCTGCCATCTTGGATTTGGGGTACCCCCTTTCGATCAAGGGACTTTTTTTACTTCATATTTGAAATCTACGACCAAAATTACATAGGAATTGACACCTCACATGACACTGTATGCGTATTTTTAAAAAAATCGAACTCCCAGAGGCCTTATTATGGCCGCCATTTTGAAATTTAGGCAATTTGGGGGGGTGTTCCGGGAGCGAACCGTGGTAAACTTTTGGTATGTTGTTCAATAGGACCTACTGAAGAAGTTTACGTAGGAAAAGTTTGTTAAGCAATTTGTTCCGGGTTAACCCTCTTTTTTTCGGATTTCTCCTTGACTAACCCCCCAAAAACCCAAAAGTCGTGGATTTAAGGATATGAATTTTGGGCAATATGCACGAATAGCTATCTACCGGCACTTGATTGACTCAAAATGTATAGGATATGCATTTACGAACTACAAAAACAGCCTAACTTGACTTTTTCAGCGCCTTGACCCGAAATTCCCGCCAAAAAAGCGAAAAATCGCATTTTCTCAAAAACGGCCCCATCACAGATTTCGCGGTTTGTTGTTCCTCAATCAGTAGGCCTTCTAGTTGACATTTCCGCAAAAAAATCGCGGGTGGTATGTTGACCGCATTAAAATTGTTTAAAACGCACCGTGGTTTAGCATACACTTTATCGCCAGGCTGTTGCTTAGTCGCCATCGGCTATAAAAGGCTATGAGAAATTGTGTTGCCGGCTATAGAAGCCATTGGAAATCTTACAGCCGGCTGTAGGTTTATGGTATTTTGGAACACAGATTCTAATGCCAATTTTTACCAGGGGTGGCAGATTGTAACATGTTTCTGCAAAGAAACCTACTATTGATTTTCCCAGATTCTCTTTTTTTTAGATAATTTGACCGGACTAAGATCCCCAAGTAGCAGTGATCGCGATAAGTTGCGATTCGATCAGTAAACGTATCGCGCTTTTATCGACGTCGAATTATTGCATAATATTATCGAATAAAAAATTGCGATTTCATCGCAAAAATTTGCAATTAAGTTGCACCTATTTCATCAATGGCGGTCTATCGCAATATTACCATAAACAAGAATCGGGAGATAAAATGTCGATTTTGCAGATAAAATTGCGACAAGCACTGAGGAAAATCGCTGAGATGTTTATGACCTCGGCGATTTTATCGCCGAGAAATCGTAACTTAATCTCTAAATATCGCGATTTCTGTTGAAAAATGCTACTGGGGTGTATTTATCTTATTTACACCTTTTTGCAACCTTATTTACACCTTTAGTGCAAAGTGCCGTACGAAGCGCAAGTGGTTCTAATAATTCCTGCGACAAATGAACATAAATTAGTTTGGCAAAATTTCACCTCCCACTGTGACAACGAAACTCGTGAAGTTCTCACAGAAAATTTGGCACGCGGAGAGAAACATTCTTTGATCATAAAAGAAAGTAAGTAATTTAAGTAGTTTAAATGCCCGATTTTCTTCAAGCAGACTTCGATAATTCCGTGATTACGCGAAATTAGAATTGGCCCACCTATATTTTGCGAGTATAGGGACTTATATTGCTATGGCTTATCCACAAAATCACTTATCTGCATTGGGAATATTAAACTGGGAGAAGAGGAGGGAGAATGGGAATAGGAAGAAGAAGAGTAAAACGTACAGAATGAGGAGAGGAAGGCAGCGGGAGAGAGAAAGCGGAAGGAGGAAAAATAAGAAAAGGGGGAGATAGAAGACAAATAAGAATAAGATGGCCAAAGAGAAAAAAGAGTAGGAGGGAGAGGGAGGAAGGAAGGGAAAATAAAGAGAAAAGAAAAAAAGAAGAGGAAAAAGAAAAAAGGCAGGAAAAAGGAGAGGGGCAGGGGAAGGAAGAAGGAGAATAGTACCTCTCTGCATATAGGAAAATTAATAGCTATACGTTGTTCCTGAAATGACCCTATAAAATAGTACTTACGTAGTTCGTTCTCACAAAATGAATTCAAATTATATTCAACATAAAAACCCCATATTTTTTCACTACCTACTAAGTCGAATGTAGAAATGTTGGATGTGTATGTGTCCTCCTACCTAAGTGTTTCTACGTATATACCTATGCTGTACGGTATAATATGGAGAAGACTTGTATTTGTGACGGCCGGCATAGGGATCAGAAGTGTGGGCGAAACGTCATTCGGCGCTTACTTGTTACGCACGCGTCATAGGAGAGAATAGAGGGGGATAGGAAAAGAATATTTCGTCACATTCCGGCCCAAGTATCACAAAGCGCCATGCGACGTTTCAAAATTTCCGTCACCATTGTATTTTTTTACCAAGAAATTTTTCAACGACGCTGTCTGAAAAATTTGCTGACTTTTCTCTGTGGTACCGATAAAATTCAGTGAAATTTTCAAACAGATTCAACCAAAAATTTCTCTGTAAAGAATGAAAATGGCGCCGGAAATTCTGAAACGTCGCATGGCGCTTGTGATACTTTGGCCGGCACTAAGGTGACGGTATGAGGGTCCTCTCTTGGACATTCTTCAAACTTCCAGCCCCTTCAAATGTAATGTACCTGAGGCTTTTTATTCGTTGAGTGCGAGAAACCTTCCAATTTGTTTTCCTTTTTAATAGAAAAATGGGAGCTGCTTAAACTTAAAGAGAACTCAGGAAGGGCGCCCGTGGGACTTCGCGACAATGTGCAAGTTCCAACATCTGCCGTGCTGAGAAAAAACGCCGTAAGAGCATTTGAACATTGCCGAATTGTCTCTAAAAATATACACAATAGAAGAATGTTGTGAATATTTTTCCTTGAAATTTTCAGACACCTTGGATTAGATACGAGCAAAACTCTCCGAAAAAGTCGGAAGAAAAATATTTAAAAATTTCCCCGTAAATTCGTGTTCGGTAAAAAGAGTTTTCAAGAAGGCTTATCCAAAGTAACAGTGATCTCGATAAGTTACGATTTAATCGGGAATGTATCGCGATTCTATCGTCGTCGATTCATTGCAAAACCATTGAACAAAAAATCGTGATAAATTAAGATAAAGTGTCATTGAACGCGATTTTATGGAGACAAAATTGTGGCAAGATTTTTTTTTTTTTTTTTTTTTGCAGTTTATTTGGCGCGGTAGGATTGAGGATAATCGCTCAGATGATGATGATGTTGATTATCGCCAAAAAATCGTACGTAAAAAAGTCGCGACTTAATTTCAAAACATCGTGATTTTCCGCTGAAAAATGCTGATTAGGATGCGGCGTTTTTCCTTAGCATGGCAGCACCGCCAACACCTTTCGTTGGCCCTGGGTCCATAAAAAGGAGGAAAAGGGACTCATGACCCAAGTANATTTGGCGCGGTAGGATTGAGGATAATCGCTCAGATGATGATGATGTTGATTATCGCCAAAAAATCGTACGTAAAAAAGTCGCGACTTAATTTCAAAACATCGTGATTTTCCGCTGAAAAATGCTGATTAGGATGCGGCGTTTTTCCTTAGCATGGCAGCACCGCCAACACCTTTCGTTGGCCCTGGGTCCATAAAAAGGAGGAAAAGGGACTCATGAACTCGGCAACGCGGAGAGCGGAATTCCGAGGGATCGGGGTGAATGATCGATTATCGATAGTTCCCCATTCGAAGCTATGGTGTAGAATCGATTACTAAGGTGTCCGTTGCGCGCACGCTATCTATCGATCCTTTTCCATGGGTTCGAATATCAGTCCAATCGATTTATCGCAAAGCGCGCCGTGCGCTGGCGCAGGGGCATCTAGAAGCTGCGGCGCGCGCAGGCACGCGCTGGCGGCGGAGACCCCAACCCCTCTAAACGCTACGAACGAGAGCGTTGTGCCGACTGCCGAGAAGCGGGTACGGTTGTGCGTCAATTATGGGGTCGGTTGTGCTTAAAAGCTTGTCCATACTCTTAGGAATATTTTTCGTCTTCATCGGCACCATGAAGTTGACTTCCTTCATCAGCAAGGAGCTCCATAAAGATCTGGTAAGTCCTTCCTCCTACTCCCCACAACACCAGCCGCCTTCCCGGCGAAAAGCCCGCCGCAAAAATCAATGAACTCCGGCGGTCAAAGCTCCTTTCATGTATAGATTGTGACGGTGATCTTCAATCCATGGTGCGTGCACGCAAAATGCGAGCTCGTAACACCAACTGATGAGGCTTAGGGTTACAAAATGAAATATGAAAAATTGCATGAATGCGCTTTTATGTGGTTTTTATTTAAAGGAATATTGAGACGGAGGTGGAATTTTAATTTTCTTCTTCCACTCTTCCGGTATGAATCTGTGTAGTTACTTGTTCGTTTCTGATGTAAAAATCCATAGAATTTGGATTATTGTGACGGTGGTCTTCAATCCATGGTGCGTGCACGCAAAATACGAGCTCGTAACACCAACTTATGAGGCTTACGGTTTCAAAATAAAATATGAAAAAATGCATGAATGCGCTTTACCTGCACATACATAAAAAATTGTAAATAGTATTTATCCCTTTGATGATATTGCCGGTTTCAAAACCTTCACTTACTGATCGAGGATTTTTTGAATCTAATTTTTTGTCGTTTCACTTACACTACTGGAACAATTTTGGCTAGAAAAAAACTTCAGATCTAAATTTGATTTAACGTCGATAAAAATGTGACAATGCATGACTTGTATTATACGCAAACACTGCCCGCATCAAGCAACATGCTACAAGCTACAAGCATTTGACGGGACAAGGAAAACACACTAGAACGCCTTCATTTTTCGAGTTATGCAACTGGGCCATCCGTTGAACATGAATAGTTGCATCCACGATTATCGTTGTCATGTTACGTCACGTCGCATCTGCTAGGCAAGATAGGTACTACAGGAAAAGGCATCGCTATTTTGTGGTTTTTAATCAATGAAATGCAATAATCCTCTCCTCCTTCCTTTTTTTGGATTTCAACAAAACAACTACTGGTTGAAAACTCTGAGAGAACTGAACGTATCAAATCTTCGACACGTGATTATAACAAAAAATTGCGACAATTTACAATCGGCAAAACGTTTCTCTTTGGTGACGACAAATACGTCGACGGTGAAACTGTAAAAGCGAACGCTTCGTTCGCAATGTTTCAAAATCTCCGCTCCCGTTTGATTTTATCAAAGGAGATCAAACCAAACCCTATGACTTGAATTATTTACTATTTCATCGTACACGGGAAAAAAATTATTTTTTAAAAAAAAGCAATTTTCTTTTTTATTTTTAAATACGAGTAAATTAAGACAGGAAGTCTGCAGCGCGCGTCGCAAATCGAGGTACATTTTTGCAGTTTCACCGCCGATACCGATAAAATTGCAAGGTGCAGCAGCGCAGTTATTTTTTGGCTGAGCGTACAGAGAAGATTCATAAAATTGTGTACTGCTTTCAGCAAACACATACCTATATATCAAGTTGGGTGGATTATACAGAAAGTTTTTTACTATCACGATACAGTAGAAGCGAAAAATTCAATAGGTAGGTACGCTTGTCATGCGGGCAAAGCCTCAGCATTGGGAGAGGTAGCAGACCAGTAGTACCGGATCGAGGTTTGTGGGGGGCCCGTAAGGCATTTGATTATTTCTTGTCCGGAAATAATGTAAAACTTGTAAGTAAAATCACTAGGTACTTGTTCGGGTTCTACGTAGGTGATACCTATGTCATACTTCCACTAAATCTGGGGTTTTCAGGCTCCGAATTTCCAAAAGTTTTCGAGTAAAGACTCCCAAACGCCCATCCTCCTTCTCTTTCTCCGGCTGAAGCCATTAGACGTGAACACAAATTTTTGCGAATTTTAAAAGGCTACCAGGGACTTAAAACGTTCAACCTTGACCGAAAAATTTAGCTTGCAAAATTTGAGGGACGCAGCCTGCGACTATCCCACTTTTTTCGATTTACGCTTGAGGACTTGGCCAAAGGAAACGATGATTCATCTTAACTATAAAATTTGATGAGCAAGACTCACAATATTTAACAACTTCAAGCTCTTGAACTGCATTGCAGTCAGGTAAAAAAAGTCAAATTGCCGGGGACAAGGGTCAGATTATTATTGCTATATTGGTTCTCGTTGGAAAAATCCTGATGATGTCCATTCAAGGAGTAAACCTCCCTTTCTCTGAACTCCGAGTCTTTTTGGCTGCATGTACTTTAATTACGTCGATTTTGCGTGGGAAATTAGTCTCGATTTGTAAATTTAGGGGCCAAAGCATAAACAGAAGGCCAAAGCATAGAGAAAAAAAAGGAGGTGTTTGCATTTCGGGCATCTTGGAATTTTTTGATGACTTGATGACGTAGGTGGGTACAGCTGGGTACAGCGACGTCCCCTTCACGCTGTACCCACCTACGTCATCAAGTCATCAAAAAATTCCAAGAAGCCCGAAATGCAAACACCTTTTTTTTCTCTATGAGGCCAAAGGGTCTACAGACTCCTGGTTTGAGCGGCCCCCCCCCCCCCCCC